TATTGTTTATATTCAAGTGGCTTAACCTGTCAGTGTTGGTGGGAGTGGGCTTGCCTTGAAGGTTCTTCCATTAGGCTGTTTACTCTTCCATTAGGCTGTTTACTCATTAGGCTGTGTTTGGCAGTTCCTTGTTTAGGGTATTGTTTATTTCTTAATTGTTGATCTGATGCTAATCTTTGAGTTAATCAATGCTAATCTGGGTGTTGATTGCTGGTGTTTTGACCTTTTGGTTACCTTTATGGCTTTTTGATTGTCTCTTTTGCACAGTACCTAGATAACGTTTATGTCTGTTTCTATCGAAGGCTAATTTTGTCAGAATGCCAGGCTTGGTACTAGACCAAGTCTAAAACCGCTAGAGAATATCTTGAAGCAGAATCACTATAGCAGAGGTGTAGGTATTAAATCAGCATACAAAGGAGTAGGCAACACTTAAACTAGTGCATCTCAATCTTGGCAAATTTTAAGATGGGTGGATTTCAGAATTGCCCATCCAGCATGGCTTAAATCTTCCTTATGTGGTTTGTGGCCACTGTAACACTAACCAGGCCAGGGGTGGGTTCTACTTACCTTTACTACCGGTTTGCAGCAGGCCGTGCGCGTTCTTCTGTTCATGCACAGAAGCGTTTTGATGACATCGGGGTCGGTAGGCAGGGCCTCCCCCCAGTTTTACTACCGGTTCTATAGAACCGATGCAAACCGGGGGCAACCCACCACTGAACCAGGCCATTTTTTTAAAAATTAAATGGAGAAGAAAAATACTGTAAAGCGTCCCGGGACACTGTCATGATGGCTGCCTCAATTTACATGGGGAGACCTTGGTTCTTTCAGTTGTTTGGTGCTTGATCATGGGTTAAAATAATCGCACATGGTTCTGGACCATGGAGAAACTAGACAGGAGGAAAACTGACTTCTTCAAGCTGTGGTATTGAAGAAGGCTCTTTGCACATTCTTTGAACAGCAAAGATGACAAACAACAAAATACTGTACTGGTGCATATAAAAACCAGATATATCTTTGGAAGACAAAATCACAAGACTCCAGCTTAATTATTTTGGTCATGTCATGTGATCATAAGTCACTGGAAAAGACAGTTATGCTTAGAATGGTTAGGGATAAAAAGAAACGAGGCAGCCAGAAAACATGGCTAGACATCAGCCAAAGCATAAAGCAAATAAAGGAAACCATACAAGAATATAAAATATGGAGAGGGCTATGAATATGGAGTCCATAGAATCACCAAGAACTGGACAAAACTGAATAGATAGCATATCATCGCCTATAGTTCATGGAGTCAGATATATACTGTGAACTTATCTAATGCTGCATTAGAACCTAGATTAACTCCACTTGTTTTATACATACATATACACACCTCGATACCAGGGGTGGGTTCTACTTTACTTTACTACCGGTCCACAATGGGGCTGTGTGCACACTCTTCTGCACATGCGCAAAGCGTTCTGATGATGTCGGGGTCAGTGGATGAAACCTCCCTCCGATTTTACTACCAGTTCTATAGAACCGGTCCGAACCGAGGGCAACCCACCACATACATATACGCTTCATGGAATTAGCCATATTATAAGAATGATTTTAACTGAAATATTTGCATAAACTTCAGATAACTATGAACTTAGGATGGTCTGATGTAAACTTTGTGACAGAATTCTACCAAACAACTTTTTTTTTTCTTGCTGTAACGTATTTCAGTTGGTGGTCAGGAAGTGTAATAATCACTCAATACTATTTCATCTCAGAATGAACTCAGACTCTTAGTTGCTATTTTCTTACAAAAAACTTTTGACATAAAACATGGAAATAGCAATGCCTATTGTGTTTATCAGATAAAATATATAAATGTTAATTTAAATATATAAATGTTAATCTAAACATTAAAGAGTTGGCATTTAGGCCAATATTCACAGCTGATCTATAATTATCCAGTCAATGAAATCAATCAATAAATAATTAAGGTATATGTTATCCATTTGACACATTACCTTATATTATTACCTTATACTATATATGCATGGAGGCACATGCACCAGCCGACCACTCACACTGCCCAGTGGCAATTAGCCCACAGTCCGATAGTGGGCCATGGCCCACAATTTGGGGACCCCTGCTAGAGACAGTTCTGCCATGTTTTATATGTTATTGTTTTCTAAGTGGATATTCAGCATGGTATATCAGTAGATACTAAATTATTAGCAGTTCTGATTATTCAAACTGCATTTCTGTGAGCCTAGCACCAGTTTCTTTACAGTACTCAGGATTTAGATATATCAATTCTTTTGGAAGCTTCTATTTATTTGAGCAATTTTTATTTAAATGATCTTTTAAAATGTTAATGCAAACTTAGTTTTGAATAGTATAATAATGTGCATAGCATTATTTTATAAGTTTGTATTAAGATGTCCATTGCTTATAGAAAGGAAATGTTATGGGTTAGTATCAAATAAAGCCACCTTAATGGATTTGCAATCTATCATGAAAAGTATGCATATGGTGAATTTCATGTATAGCTTTGCCCAGTGCCTGTCAAATACTGTATATTAAGACTACAACTCCCAACATTTTCTTCTAGAGGATTGCTACAACTAATTTTTTTCTTGGACAACTAGGAAATAGTAAAAATTAAATTAAAAATAGTCATGATGAATCAGACTAAAAATACATTTGATTTGTAGAGTCGAGTTGCATATTTGCCCTCAGTGCTTCATCACTTTTCTATATAACAGATAATATAATAAAGGGATAGTAATTTTATCCAGCAGTTGATATAGCTGTTTTGCACCTGTAAAAGGTATTTTATTTATTGAAGCCAAACTCATGGACTCTATTATATACCTTTTGCTATGCCTTTTTTGCTATCATAAGCAATCTCCAAACTATTAACTGAATGTTCGAAGAGAACAGAATTGTTTAATACCATAAAACAAATTTATAAGTTGGTTATGTTATAGATTTATTAACTCAACTTTATAGACATTTAAAGGAAAACAGCAGCAAATTATTTCATGCTCTATAGATGATCTCCTATATAATATGTATGTTCTTTAAAAAAAGGGGGGGGGGGAAGTAAGAAGCCTTATGTGAAAAAGGCTATTAATTTTCTAAATGACGAACTTCTTGATGCAGGGATTGGGTTACACAACTGTCTTTCCACAATAACAAAGAGATAAATTTTTGAACTTTTGTGACATTATACATTTCTGGAGGGGATCAGAGGAAAGCAATGAAGAAGGCATCAATTATTCAGGATGCAGGAAGAAGGCAGGAACTGCTATCACTAAGTGAGTGATACTGTCATGTGACATCATGTTATATGATCACCTTACTTAGTACAGAAAGTCCAGTCCCAAATGCCATTTTTAACTACTTGTGGTCCTAATAGAATATTCTCAATATTCACACATAATTTTCTGCTTTACAAACTTTTGTTGAAATTTCCTCTTTTCAGATTGAATCAAATATTGCCATTAGTTACCTGATTCATTTTAACCTGCTTCAAGTGCTTCACAGGACCAGAGCATAGAAGAAAAAGGATGTTTAAATTTATTTGATATGCATTTGTTACTCATTTTTTATAGTATATCCAGATAGTGGTATTCACATTTTCCCAGCATTCAAACAACGTTTTGTTGTCCAAAAAGGTCTTTTTCTTTCTATGGTAGTTCTGTTATTTTAATGCAACAACCTTTTCTACTAATGTAAAAAATTCCAAGCATAAATATAAGCAATAAAATCTACTTTTCTGGTACTATGTTACCTAAAAATTGTTTATAAGGAGTTGATCACCATCTTAATGTTCAGGTGGCAGATGGAAGCACTCATGAAGTTCTTTCAAACCGAAATTCTTTCAACTGATGGGAAATGCAGAAACTAGTATCTTCATTGCTCTTGTCCCATCCCATCAAGAAATGGTATATTTTCAAAACAGGTTGAATTTTTATCTGCTTGTTATTGTGGAAAGGAAGTTGTATACAAATTATTGTGGAAAGGAAGTTGTATACAAATAGTTGTATACAAATAGAGGACCTCTCATGGACTATGAATGCTAACATGCTTGTGAAGAAGGCACAGAAGAGGCTGTACTTCCTGAGAATGGTCAGGAAGATAAATCTATCTCAGCATCTATTCTGTCCTACTATCACAGCATCATTGAGAATGTCCTGACATACGGCATTCTTGCATGGTATGGGAGCAGCTCTGTAGCAGACAAAAAAGCTCTACAGAGAATCTTTAAAACTGCCCAGAATATCATCGGACTCCAGCTACCAGCCCTGGATGACATCTTCGAATCTCGCTGTTTGAGAAAGTTGCATAACATTCTCAGAGATTCTTCCCATACTGCTTACAATCTTTTTGGACTGTTGCCTTCTGGCAGAAGATACAGAACAATTAAAACTCAGACCACACGTTTTCTGAATAGTTTTTATCCCAGATATAATTGCACTCAACAATTAAAGGGCCACCATCAGTGAGCTGTTGGACAGTACTACTTGGTCTGTTGTGTGGATGTTTGGGTGATTTAGGGGTGGAGAATTGTGGAGGGTGGGAGTGTGTTTGGGGATTGTTATGTGTATTGGACCTGGTCTTTGGGTGTTAAGTGAATTTCGTTGTATGGGTATACTGTGTGAAGTATACAATGAAGTTATTTATTTATTTATTTAGTCCTAGAATTACAACCACAATTGGGACTGAAATAAACATAGGACTGCACCCAATTTTACAGCCTTCTTTGCCACAATTGTTAAGAGAATCATCAGGTCACTCAGCAAATCATAAAATAATTATATTCTGGTTTTCAAGAGCCTAAATTGCAATTCCATGATCGTGAGGACACTGTGACAGTTGTTAAAATGAGAACTGGTCATAGGTCACTTTTTTCAGCACCATCATGACTTGGAATAGCTGCTAAACATATGGACATAATTCGAGGACTACCTGTAACCTAATATTTTGTTCCAGTAATATAAAAACAGTAGCTTTGCAAAAACCTTGTTTTCTTTTTATTACAATGTTTTGCAAGTTGTAATTCTCCCTTTCTTTTCCTCTTGATTTTTAAAGATATCAATGGACAGTAATTTCTGCCTAAGATCAGAATTACTCATCAATTATTTAGAGATGAGCTATTATATTTCTGGCAGATAATCAAACACTTAACACAATAAAGGCACAGGTAATTTGGATATAGGCATACAGTTAAAATCAGTGTTCTTAAAATCAATTTGAAGGAACCTACTAAACACTGCAGTATTGAATGTTTTAAGTATGTAAACATGATTTTTTTTCTCTTGAATATTTCTTTATGGATGATTATTATTGTTGTTACATTTCCCCCCAAATGAAATGCAAATATTCACAACTTATCTTTTTACTTCAGCCATGCTCTTTCATATTTTCTATCTTATGTGATTCGAGTCACATGGGATTTCAAATATAGCAATATTTCAAATCAAGGTAATCCCACTTTAATTGTCCATCATGACAATTATGTGATTATTTATACTTTAGAACTTCCGCCTTTCTTTTGAAGCCGTGTTCTTGTTGGCTCAGTCATTACCAGTGGTTCTTGAACAACAGTTGCTGGGTAATTTTTGCCTAGCAACTCAACCTCCAACTTCTGTCCAACTTTACTGAGTTCCACAGGAACGTATGCAAAAGCCAGACTTTGCTGAATACTATAGCTGTAACATCCAGATGTGGTGTTGCCAATAACCTGAAAAATTAAATTTTACCACTTATCAATTTACAGTATAAAATACACAGTTAATGCAAATTTGTGTTTCTAAATATTTAACTTCTAACATATGCAGTATGCAATAAAATCAAATATGCAATTGTATTAGTTTAAACAGTGGCAAAATACTGAGATTATATTGATACTTAGATGATATAATTCTGTTTCAATGGACCATCTTTGACCATCTATTAATTCCTATGCTTGACAAAAAATCTACTAGAGACTAAATATTGTTTGACTTCTGTAAATGCTACAATCCCAACTCAAGTGTGGGTGTGTGGGGGGGCGGGGGTGTCAGACTGAGGAATGCTGATTTATAGCAAGTACAGTATACATCAATGGTGTCAAACTCAAGGCCAGCGGGGTGCTTAAATCTGTCCGCGGGGCCAGCCTTGAAATAGCAAAGGACCAGCCCGCTGTGCCGCTGGAAGCCAAAACGGGGCATGGGGATTAGGATTGCAGGCCGTCTACCCCCCACCCCCACCCCCTCCCAGCCGACCCGTGGAGGAGAAGTTTAATGCTGATCTGGCTGTCAAAGAAATCCAATTTGACACCCGTGGTATACATGCACCCACCTTCTACTTCTAAGGCACATTAGCTTTTGCAACTAAATCTACTGAAAATGATAGCCATTTAAAAAAATGAAGTAAATACAAAGGGGGTTCCAGAAAAATGTTCTTCAATTATTTGAACTAAAATCTGCTTGCCTTGTTATTATACCAGACACTTTCATTTCCTTCAGGATCAACATCATCTGTTTTCAAGATGAGACACACAAGTTTTCGTTCAAGCCCCTTTTCTTTAATTTGTTTCAGTGCTTTCTTTCCTATGAAGTCTGCTGGCTGGGGAAAAAAGATAGTAAGTGATTAGTAGATTCTGAATGGGTTATAGATGCAGTTTTTGAGAATTAACTGGACATTTTTAGTCAGGTTTCAGGTCTGGACATAATGTGGAGGACAGCATTGGTGGTGCTTGTTAGCAGAGCCAGAATGGTTGGAGGATGTCCAATGCCTAGAGGCTGTTGGGGTTTTGATGGAGAAGAACAAGCTTAGGCTGAAGCACAGCAAAATTGAATGGCTGTTGGTGCTTGGCCTCCTGGTGCTAGGAACTTTCCATCTTTGGACTAAACAGACTAAACAGCATCTTATCTGAAACTGGGTGTTGAGTCTTCCTAGACCAGTGTTGGTGAACCTTTTCGGCACCAAGTGCCGAAACGGGAGTGTGCATGGGGGGAGCACTGGAAACCAGAAGAGCAATAACTCGGTACACATGCCTATGCTCTGGGAAGCTGAGCTTTTGGTTTCCGGGGTGCGCATACGTGCCAGTCACCTGGTCTTCCAGTTTTTGGCATGCATGCATGTGCGAAGACCAGCAGGTGCACCGGAAACCGGAAGCTCAGCTTCCCGGCGCGCACATGCGTGCCAGGGAGCTGCTCTTCTGGTTTCCAGAGCTCCCACGTGTGCAAAGACAAACTGGCCAGCACAGTGCCACTTCCGGCACGCATGCCATAGGTTCACCATCACGATCCTAAACTCTCAGCTCCTTTTTAAGAAGCAGGTAGCAAGCTGTGGGTAAGGAGGCCATAAAGAGGAATCAAGAGTCCTATCACACATAAGCCTGTCTAGAGTTGGAAGCCTGATTGCTAAGTGAAACTTGGATGCTTCTGAATAGTTACTGGAACACAGAGCAATTGGAAAGCTTCCCAGAAGCATTTAATTAGTTTCTTATTCTTATCCATTCCACTTTTTATGGAATAGTGAGTTCAACAGGAATAATTTTATCAAGAAATGGCACTTCGACCAGTTACTGGAATAGAATAGAGATGGATGTCTATGCTCCTGCCTCTAGAATTTCAATTTACATTTCAAACAAGTGCCTGTGCCAGATTGTCATTATGAGGCAATTATATATTCAACACAGTGGAGAAAACCTTGTAGCAGTTCCACAGACTAAGCAAAACATGCAGACAAGCAGCTTTTCAACCAGTCTTTTTTTCCAATGGAAAAAAATACGTTGTACCTCCTCAGCAAAGGGTCAGAGTAAAATGGGAAGAAGAAAACCTGTCTATGACTCCTTTTCCTTTCCATAGAACATAAGGTGAAATATTGTGAATACTGCTATAATTCATTCATTATCCCCACCTCCTACCCCCAATTTATTTTAGCTTTTCTCTGCATTAGTCAATAGTGAGGGCTAAGCTGTGAAAAATCATAACCATGCAATTTGAAGCTAAAGAAAATAGTGACAATAGCATCATATGTCATCCAAGAATCAGCTAGTTTGTATAAATATTCCAGGCCAGAAAAGAGAAAAGAAACATTTTTTTAAGTGAGAGCAAACCATAAGAAATGAAAACAATAATATCTAGTTTAATGAAAAGAAGGACTAGGAGTCACATGATAGCATGGTTATGATACTGATAGTAGTGTTCCAGTATCTCAGGGGTTGCCTGAGGGAGAAGAGGGAGTCAAGTTATTTTCCAAAGCACCTGAAGGCAGGACAAGAAGCAATGGATGGAAACTAATTGAGAGAAGTAACCTAGAAGAAATTTCCTAACAGAACAATTAATCAGTGGAACAACTTGCCTCCAGAAGTTGTGAATGTTCCAGAACTGGAAGTTTTTAAGAAGAGATTGGACAACCATTTGTCTGAAATGGTATAAGGTTTCTTGCCTGAGCTGGTTGGACTAGAAGACCTCCAAGGTGTTCTGTTCTGTTCTGTTCTGTTCTGTTCTGTTCTGTTCTGTGCTTAAATATCTGGCCAACAATGAGTTTGGCAGTAAGCATGGCCAGGTTCTACAGTTCACTTTAATAAAATGGTGGCTGAGAAGATAATGAGAGATGCCTAGAAATGCTGTTGGAGGATAATGAAGAATGAACCCAACTGAACATGAGTTAAGAGCCTTTTGGGGGGGATTACCACATGGCAATAAGGGCAGCAAAAAGTAGTTATTACTCTGCCCTTACTGCACCACCGAGTGCCAACTGGTGGTCCTGTTTAGAATAACCAGAACCTCCTTGATTAGAAGATGTCACAGAAATACCTGCAGGGCTGCAGTGAGGACTGTTCTAGGTATCTATTGAATTGGATTCATTTTGAGTTGGACACTGGCTGTACAGGTCTTTTGGATTTGGCCAAGGCACAGTCTTGCCCAGTTAATCAGAGAAGAGTCTGAACTCTTCCCCAGTGAGAATTAATGTGCAATGTGGGGGTCACTTTGGTTATCCTTGCTATATTCTGTAAGCAGTAATTTCATATATTGTCTCTACAAACTCTAATTAAACTCCGCCTATAAAACACATTCAAATACAACTAATCTCCCCAGTGCTTCGCTTCAACATTATTCATCTGATACTCATAAATATATAATTTATAAATGGAACAAATAGTTTGCATGAAGGCTAATACAGCAATCATAATTAGAGCTTTGAGTATGATCTGGCAGCAGGTGTGAGTGGTTTAATGGTCCCTTCTACATTAATTGCATAGAAGACACTTCACTACTCTGAATGGAGACAGCTAAAGTTATCTGACCTGATCAGCAGTTTTCTTTTAAAAAGCAAACATTTTATAATGAATATATACACAAAAAACACTCTATGTTTCAGGAGAACTGTTAAAATTTGGCAATTTTATTTGAATTTGGCTGACAGGTGATATTGCACATTTTCTTTTGTATGATTGTGATACTCTATTACAGGAGTGTCAAATTCAAGGCCTGGGAGTTGGATCCAGCCCGCAGGATGCTTAGATCTGGCCTGCGGGGCTGCCCTGGAAACAGTGAAGGACCGGTCTGCAGTGCCTCCACAGTGCCGCGTGTGGGCCTCCTTGAGCTCCATTTTCGCTGGCAGAGGGTTGCAGGAGGCTGCCGCAGCCGAAAATGGAACTCGGGAGCCTGTTTTTGCTGGCACATTGCTCAGGCCACCACAGGCACCCACCTCAACACGAGTGACATGCTGGTCACACCCTGGAAACGCCCACCCCAGCCCCCTGAGGTCAAACACAACCCTGATGAGGCCCTCAATGAAATCGAGTTTGACACCTCTGCTCTATTACGTTCATTTTACGAGTTGATTTATTTGGATAGTTGGCAAAAATGGAGTAAATAAATAATGAACAAGTTCACTCTTAAATTTTAAAGGTTAAGTCAACATTCTGGTAATGAATCTTACTGTTGTACGTATTCCATTATTAGTTCTAAAAAGTCTTTTGGGTGGTTAATTGTAAATACAACATCATCTGCAAATCATTTTAATTTATGCTCTTGATTTCATAATTTAATTCCTGAAAATTTATTTTCTGGTATTTTCTTTGCTAATCGTAGCAGTAAATAGAAATAAAGAAGGCAAGAGGAGTCCAGTCTTGTTTCTTTCGTTATAGTATATTTTTGTGATAAAATATTTTGTGGTGCATTCTCAAAGATAATTCCCAAAGACTAACCCAGTCTCAGTAGCTGTAGAAATTACAAAATTTAAGTACCCAAAATAACATGGAATATGAACAGTAACTCCCAGATTATAAGATTATTATTTTATCTGGTGAGGAAAATAAAAGGAGGAAATTAAGGACAATAAAAAACCTCCCTATTTTTAATGTGCAGAAAGCTGTCAAAAGATATGTGTAATCTTTTAATAGCATGATTTATTTGTTAAATCACTCGTGAATGCTGGAATAGATCCAAATTATACACACAAAACTACTCAGCTGCATATGAGAGCACAGCATCTGCTGCAATCTGCTTTAACCACCACCTTAAAATACACAGGGGATCATACTTGTGCAGTACTTTCAAATTAATTATTCTTCATTGACTGTTCTTGAGTAATTGCAAGACAGCCTTCTAAAGTAAATTCCTTTCATAGTTAAACAAAGATGACATTTTACCCCTAAAGGCAACCAATATTTCACTGATTCATGTTCCAAATACTTGTGCCAAATGTACTTTCCTAAAAATACAGTCAAGAAAATATTTTGAAATTGTTCCTCTTTTTTACAATAAAATATTTAATGAACTTAATAAGGTCACAACCATATTGTTAGCTGATTACGTACTGATTACAAAATTGCCTTTGCTAAGCAATATGGCTGTAAAGTGAAACATCACATGGCCAGGCCATTTAGCAATCCAGTTCCAGCTGTTGTTAAATGAGGACTGTGTAATTGCAATCACATGACTGCAGCTCTTTGCCATTTTGTAATTGTGAGATGGTGCTAATCATATGACCATGGACTGTTTTAATAGTGCCAAGGTAAGTTTACCCGCACACACAAACACACAAAAGGAGAGATGATTTAAAAATGAGAAATGCTAGGAAGGAATTTCTCACTCTCTAAGAAGATTATCCCAGCTTTTCTGGTAAAACTGTAAACTTCTAACTTGAACATAACAGAAAGTCTGGTATTGTAAGTTTTAAATGCATCTTACATGGCAAGTTCCAGTTTAATAGTACTCATTAACTAAACAAAAATGTTTTCAAATTGTAAAAATTTCCAACAACCCCCATTTCCTGATTTGATCACCATATTAATAGCCTGATAATTATGCATATATAATTATTATTATTATGCATAGATAATTAATGAGCCGCAGTGGCGCAGTGGTTAGAATGCAATACTGCAGGCTACTGCTGATCACCGGCTGCCAGCAGTTTGGCAGATCAAATCTCACCAGAGTCAAGGTTGACTCAGCCTTCCATCCTTCTGAGATCAGTAAAATGAGGACCCAGATTGTTGGGGGCAATATGCTGACTCTGTAAACCCCTTAGAGAGGGCTGTAAAGCACTATGAAGCGGTATATAAGTCTAAGTGCTATCGCTATTGCTATCTATAGTAAAACTGTGGTGTGTGCAACTAATTTTATTTCAACTAAGTTAAAACTGTATAAAGGAACTGCTCCAACCCCCAAATTACTTGGAAAGTGCCAAAAAATGAAATTAATTAGTAGATCACATTATAGTTTGAGTTATTTACCAAAATAGCAGCATGGACTGGGAAATGAGATAGAAGGAACATTGCTACATACACCAAGGTACATTACTGCTTAAGTGTATAATTATCTGGTGTTGTTTTGCAGATTCAAATATAACAACTATTTGCAAACAAAGGAAGAATGAATAATAATTAAAGTGTAGTAGAAAAAACCCCATACCTTATTTAATTTGATAAAATATTGCAGTCCAGCTTCCAGTGGATTGGTGTCGCAATTCATCTGTTGAAAAAAAAAAGTACAATAAAAAACCACTAGGTGGCATATTTTTTTCTCATTTCTTTTGATGTCCAACAAATGAAACCTATATTTTACATTAATAAAATAAATATCTATTTTTATTAAATTAGCATAGCTCTTAATAAAATTTATATACTAATCTTATACTATTCCCATTAAAAATAAAATTGTAAGTTTCAGCACCCCTTGCAAAATCAGCAGTGCATAAATGACAAGGGATCATAATGATAAAAGCACATTTTTTAAAGCAAGACAAATCAGGAAACCCATAAAATTACCTTTACTCAATCAGACCAGAAAAGCAGCTCTTTCTAGGAATGTGAAAAGGAACTTTTCTCTAGGTCAGACAGCAGCGCAGTAGACCTAAGGTAAGCAGGTAAGACATCCCACAAAAATAAGACCTGGTGATTATTTTGGGGGCCAAAAGAAAATAAGACAGGGTCTTATTTTTGGGGAAACATGGTATTAGTCCAGTGTGAAATGTAAAATTTGTTACTACTGGTTCTGTGGGTGTGGCTTGATGAGGGGGGGTAATGTGACTGAGTGGGCGTGGCCAACTTTTTTTTTTTAACTTTTAAAACCATTTTTTCTACAACTTCTTCAGCCAAAGAGGTTGTAAAAAATGCTTTTAAAAGCCTCTGACAATCCTAGCTGAGTTGCCTGATTGGCAAAGGCTTTTTTTCTTTTTAAAAGCCTCTGATGATCCCAGCTGAGTTGCCTGATCGGCAGAGGCTTTTTTTCTTTTAAAAACGTTTTTCTACAACCTCTTCGGCCGAAGTGGTTGTAAAAAAAATGCTTTTAAAAGCCTCTGACCATCCCAGCTGAGCTGCGCAATGATCAGAGGCTTTTTTTTTTAACTTTTAAAAGCATTTTTTCAGCCAAAGTGGTTATAGAAAAAATGCTTTTAAAAATAATTTAAAAAGCCTCTGATGATTGCGCAGCTCAGCTGGGCATGGGGGAGGCAGGGATTTTTGCTACCGGTTCTCCAAGCCACCCGCCGCCATTGCTACCGGATCGGGCAATCCGGTCCAAACCAGGAGCATTTCACCCCTGTATTAGTCTATGAGTAATAATTATTACTCTGTACTTTGGATTTATTATCTTTTTATTAAATTAAATTTATTATTGTTAGATTTATCCTGGCTATTTATTGATTTATTTATATGTCAACCTAGGGCAGCCAACATACCTAATACTCCTGCCTCCTGTTTTCCCAACAAAAAGATCCTTGTAAGATGGGTTGGGCTGAGAAAGACTCTGGCCCAAAGTCATCCAGCTGGATTTCATGCCTAAGAGAGGCTTAGAACTCATAGTATCCTCGTATTTAGGCCAGCACTTTTACACACAAAACTGGCATGACTATGCATGCACACACACACACACACACACATCAAAAGACATGGTTTCCAACCTCTGCTCCCCAGGCACGAAAAGCCTTTTCTAGACGTAATGTATTCATTGCGTATGTTCCAAAGTTGTCAATTCCTTCTTCACATCCAGCATCCATGATTGTAGAATATAGAGCTGCAGTATCTTCTCGTTTGTGGTACAACTCCCATCCTAGTTCACCTATAATAAATCAAGACTAATATACATTTTTAACTAGGATTAAATTGTAGCCATCAAAACTTTAACCTGAAAAGAAATTTGGAATGATCTTTTGTTATAGCTAGGTTATTTGATATTTACGTTTTTAGAAAAATCAACTATTCTATTTATGAGACTAAAAGCAATTTCCTTTCACTTACCCGTATAAGAAATTCTAATTGCAGTAACATGAATGTTACCAATGCTTAAATGCTTGGACTGTAGAAAACTAAATGCAGCATCACTAAGATCTTCAGAAGTTAATTTCTGGAGAACTTTCCGTGCATATGGACCTGCTACACCCAGTACTCCAATTTCATCTGTAATATTTTCGATGTCAACATTGTATTGTCCTCTAAATGCCTCTTCTTCAATCCATCTGTGTATAAAATAGAATTATTAGATCAGAACAAAATAATATTTAAAATATTATAGGACTAGAAATTCTATAGAAAGTAAGAGTAATATTGACAGACATCTAAGTCTTTTAGAATTATCAAAGAGTCAGTGGAGTCATTGGTGCTAAACAGTTCGGAAATAATGTAGTCTCCTCCTTCTGTTTTACCTGTTTTTGTTTTTTACTACTAGTTTGTTAAATTTTTCTCCTAACTGGTAACCAGGCTAGAAGATTCCAATTGTGAGAATTCATAGGACAGGACAGAATTTGTATCTGCTTCTGAGACAGAAACAGCATGGAAATGCAATTCCTGTCTAACTACAGAGATACATAACATGTTAGTCCAGCCTTGTCTCTTCAACTATAGCTAGTCAGTAGATCAAGGAGTATAATCAGTGGTCGGTTGCCCCCGGTTCGGACCGGTTCGCAAGAACCGGTAGTAAAACTGGTGGGAAGCCCCACCCACTGCCCCGGATGTCGTCATCGGTGATCTGCGCATGTGCAGAAGCTTCTGCGCATGCGCAGAAGCATGGCGCACGGGTGAGCGAAGCAAGCACGCACACACGATCCCGTTGTAAACCGGTAGTAAAGGTAAGTAGAACCCACCCCTGAGTATAATGATTGTGAATCTAAGGCATGGTACAACTCCAGCAATCATTTCAGACAAAAAGATTTCTTAGACTTCTTGGATAAGATTGGTATAACCATTACTTTATGCCATAAGGAAGGAAAGGTTGAAGAAACAAGCAAAAATATGCCCATAAGGTTTTTTTAAACCTATGACTTAACTGAGGCTATTACAGAATTTTCCATTCCTAATATTTCATCAATGGACAGCTCATTAAAATTATTTCTTATTGTACTCATTCAACATATTTACACAAATATCCCACAAACAAGTGTAGTATTCCTGTATCCACACACAACTTTCTCACACATTAATGAACAAGACTTCTGCAGTTTATGAAACCTTATGAACAAATTGCTCTCAAGATTTTACACTATATACAGTACACCGATATACTCAACCAGTCATTAATTTATCTCTGATAAAAGCTACCGGTATTATTATTTCAAGTTTTTATAACCTTTTTTTATTATTCTGAACTGAAGTTTATCCTAAATTCCTTGGACCACAGGTTAGTTTAAAACTTCAGTATTTAAAATTTACACTGACCTTAAGTCATGAAGCTCTGATCCAGAACCAGTAATTAATAAAAATTCCCCTGGATTCAGATGAGAGACTGTAAGTTCAGCATAGACTTCGCCTTTGAAGGTTAACATATGACTTATATTTGTGAAACCCATCTATGTAGAAAGAAAGTCAAAACTCTACATTAAAATCATCAATTATACAGTAGCTTATAATAATGCAAGTTAACTTTTTATAGCATAGCACACAAATATTACTGAATTAAGTAGACTTCTTCCACTGCTGCCTTTCGATCTTCTTCTCTTTTTTCCCTCCTAATAGAAACATTTTGTACTCAGAATCAATTGGAAAACATTTATTCCAGGCAAATCTGTAAACACTTCTTCTGACCTGGCACTTTTTGGCAACTCATTATGTTTTCTTTTCGAGAAATAACAATTATAATACTTTTGTGTTTTCTTTTTATTTATGTTTGAGTGTTTTATGGTTTTAATTATTATGTTTCTAAGCTGTCCAGAGTTATGCTTTATGAGGTGGGCGCCTATGTGAATCTGCTAAATAAATACATAGATGAGTAGGTAAACAAACAGCTTGCTTTGCTCTTCTTCCTGCATATCCTCACAACTAACAGGATTAGGTCTACATCAGTCTCTTTAAGTTGGAATGTATTAAATATCTAGATGTTGGAAGCGTTATTTACATCAGGGGTATCAAACTCAAGGCCCGGGGACCGCATCTGGCCCGTGAGGTGCTTAGATCAGGCCCACGCAACTGCCCTGGAAACAGCGAAGGAGCAGCTCGCAATGCCTCTGCCAGCAAAAATGGAGCTTGGGAGGACCACATGCGCTCTCCTGAGCTCCGTTTTCCGTTAGAGGGTTGCAGGAGACTGCCGCAGCTGGAAATGGAGCTTGGGAGCCCGTTTTCGCTGGCAGAGGATTGCAGGACACCATTGCAGCCAGAAATGAAGCTTGGGAGCCCCTATTCGCTGCAGAGCGCTCGGGCCACCAAAGACTCCCCCGACACGAGTGACATTGAGCTGGCCATGCCCCCCCACCACACCCGAGGTCAAACACAACCCTGATGTGGCCTCAATGAAATCGAGTTTGACATCTCTGATTTACATCATATGCATTGATTATCTCTTTAATACAGATATGATCCATGCAATCTCTACTCCATTCCATAGTAAACACACTGTATACAAGATGTATTTGCCCTTAGCCACCATAATGTGGAAATGAGATGAGTCTAGAAATAGCCAAATGCATCTAAATAATGGAGTGATTATGACCCTGTTATTTTAGCACCCTGGAACCAATCTACAAAAAGTATTATTACATTATTGGCTTTTTAAAAATGCAAGGGGAAGCCAATTCTAAATCACTTTGTATTCAACTGTGCCCTCATATTTAAACGAAGGAAGCTAGTGGCAATTAAGAAATGTGGAAAATGTCAATACAGTGGGGAAGGCAGTGTGACATGATGTAAAGTGACTTTCATGGTCCCTGTAGCTCCAGATGGATGGTGGTATACTTATCTAGTTGGGACTATTGATTCAACACCTCTGAGTACAAAGTGATCAATGAATGGAATTAACAGTGGACTATGTATTATTATTATTATTATTACATTATTTACCTTTGGGACCACATTTGCAAAGAGATGATCCAAAAGTTTAACTGAATCACTGCCTTTGATGCTAAACTTGCCAAAAGGAGTAAGATCAATTACACCCACTTTTTCCATCACTTGTTGATATTCCCGACCTACAGGTTCAAACCAATTTGTGCGTCGAAAACTAGGTCTGGAAAAACAATATTTCAATGACTCAAAAAAACCAAGCATGACTATTTGTAAATTAGCATAAAGCAACTTGTTCAAAAACATCATTTTGGCATTATTTTCCTTTAAAAATAAATGTCATGTATCTTGATTAATGTATTACCTACTTTTCAAAATGCTGACATAGCTAGTAATGCATTACAATGGATAGTAGAGATCAAATAAAATATATTTTAAACTGAAAGCAAAATACTTGATTTGTTTCAAACAAAAGATGGCATACAATACAGGAATAATATGTTCTTAAGGGCACTTCTCATATTTTAAACAGAAACAAGGAGTTCATATACATATGCCAGATATGCAGTGAAAATTGATGGATCAATTACCCTTATCCTATTTCTTAAAAGTACAGTAAAAATAAAATGAGGAGGAAAACCATTTATGCTATTCTGAACATTTTAGAGGAAGATATAAACATAATTAATTTATAAACATACTAGTTATTGAATATAAAATACAGTAAACCTTAGTTTAATGAATGAATAAGACAGGAGTGTCTATTAAACCACAATGTCCATTAAATATGGGATTTTATGCATACATATTTTACTCATTTTATTCATGTACAAATATGGAATGGGATTGTGTTATTTTATGTTATGTCAGTAAATGTTATAGGACCAGATTTTATCTACTACATCTGAAGTAGACACTACATTTTGTCTACTACACCTCGTACACCAAGGTCCACAGAAAATGGACAATGCAGTACAATGTTTCTATTAAATTCTTAGATAAATTAGTATCACAAATATTTAATTTTCATTTACTTGTATCCAATGTCATCACCATGTTTGTAAAACCAATGAGGTTGTTCCCAGCCTGCATGGAATCCCATGGAGCATTTAGACTTAAGGTTTTCATAAAGCCCACTGACTCTTTCTGTAGGTCTCCCAGCAAATCTTTCTTCTTTAGGAAATCCAACTGCAAAATTAGGAAAATAGCACATTAAATCAAACAACATGAAAAACAATAAATTTAATCACATATACTGTACAAACAAAAGTTTTGCTTCTAAAACCTCATGAGAAGGCCACACGCAATTTGGACAAGGCCATGTATGATTTAGGCAAGGGCCAGGCAGTGCCTCAGGGAGAGGACCAGGCTGCTTCACGAAGGGCCACACTGGGCACGTCTCAGCAGCAGCAGCAGGAAAAGATAGCAAAGGACAACTGGGGTTGGCAGGACAGCAGGCTGGTAGAGCTGGCAGGATGAACAGAGTGCAAGATGGCCAAAGGGCAGAGATGGGAGGGGAAATCAGATGGGAGGAGTTGACAAGGAGGCAGTCACTTACCTAGCAATGTTGTGGCTAGGAGGGACCAAGCCAGGAGTGGCTTGGATCGTTCTGGGTCTTTAGCTAATGATGGTGGGATTCAGTTAATAGTGGCAACCAGGATTTTAAGGATTGCTGTTGCTAAATAATGTGGTCATCTGACATCATACTTCACAATCGTATCACTTAGCAACAAAAATTCTGACCCCAATTGCCATCGTAACTCAAGGACTACCTGCAGCTGAAACCAACACCATTGAAAGTATAGACCACTCCATCTCTTTCTATTTTCACTTTACCATATCCATATAATAATTAATACATTTTTGTTTGTTTTTAAGCTTCTCACCTCTCTCTTTTTAGGTAGATTTTCCTCAGTTTTTCCTAATTGCCATTGTAACTCAAGGACTACCTGCAGCTGAAACCAACACCATTGAAAGTATAGGCCACTCCATCTCTTTCTACTTTCACTTTACCACATCCATATAATAATTAATACATATTTTTTTGTTTTTAAGCTTCTCACCTCTTTCTTTTTGGGGAGACTTTCCTCAGTTTCTCCTTTCTATGGATTTATTCTCTCTTCCTTCATATATTTGATCTGTAGTTCGGTTCTTGCTCATTCTTTCTACATGACCAAACTATCTCAAGTTAGCTTTTTGTACTGATTACTCATTTTTGTATTTCGTCTACATTCTTTTAGCATCCATTCATTCACCTCATCTCTTCTTGTTGTATGACAAATACTTCATAAGTGCTTCTTAAGCACTCTGACTGCATGTCACAAGTGATCAGAAGTGTGCTCTATGAACAATTCACACTTATTTTACAGCAATTATAGCAAACTTTTTTTAACTTTTAAATTTTTACAGATTTTTATCCTACCTTTTTCCCCCATATACAACTCAAGGTGGCAAACATACTAAATACTCCTTCCTCTTCCTATTTTCTCCACAACAACAACCCTGCGAGGTGGGCTAGATTGAGGGAGAGTGATTGGCCCAAAGTCACCCATTTGGTTTTTCATAATTAAGGTGGGATTAGAACTCTCCTGCTTTCTAGGCCAACACCTAACCATTACAGACAAACATTGGTTCCTCACAGCACCAGCACAGCCACCTGCCACCTGCTATACTATGTATATCTTAAGATTTCTTCATCCATTTTTCTACTACATGCTCTATTTTTATTATTTATTATTAATTTTATCATTTATTATAACTTACAAACATTCACTCCATTCATTTTAATTTTAAAATCCATACACCTTGCACAATTGATCTAACCCACATTCTCATTCATGCTTTATTTCTATCATATGCTGCTCTTATCACTTTCAGAACCCAATTTTCAACATCACTGCATAATTCAAGTTCATAAACATTTTCATAGGCTTTCTCTACATAAACAAAGTACACTAAACACTGGATAAAAATAAGAAGATAGTATATATAATGTTGTCTCTGTATAGTATTAGAGAATTCCAAAACCACATGGCAATACATAACTGATCCTTATTCCTATTAGTCCAGATAATTATAAAAAAGTCAGTATATGAATGTTTAAGTGTCAATATTATCCATAACATGGAAAATTATAAGCAAATGTCTTACCAATATTATTGAAACCATACGATTCTCTTGCTTTTACTTCTGTGTATTTTATAGTTGTCCACTTTCCATACCTATTTGGATCTACTTCGATTAGATCAAAAGGAGGCTCTCCACTGAGTATCCAGTCACTAAGATACTTTCCTATCCCACCAGCATGAATGATTCCATACCTGGTAGGATATGGAAAGAGGGAAAATACTTAATTTACTACAATAATATATTCCATCAAACATTTCAACAAAGGCTATGTAAACTCACATTCTACTTGTTTTACAGGCATTCTGGTTTTTTTTTTTAACTCCATGATATTTGGTTAGTGCAAGGCATAGCAAGGGAGAGGAAGTTAGCTCCAGTAGAAGGATTAGATCTGAAAATCTGTGTTTAATTCCCAAATAAGGCATTGATTTAGATCTATTTGACACAGGATGAAATCTCCTACAAAGAAGTCAAACTTCAGCATAGGAAGCAGCATTAGTTTAGTTTCAGTCTGTGTGACAAAATTATCTATGATACCATGTGCTTATGTCATAGGAAGCTGCAGTTAACTGCATTTTCTTTTTGTATATACACATGATAAATAGACATTTTCATATATAACATGCTGATACCTGCAGCTTCCTCCAAAGAAATGCCCTCTGTGTAGGAAATACATCTGGCATGGAGCAATCTTCATAGGACAGTCCCTTCTCATTTACTATCTCTCTATTTCTTTTTTAGCTGATCACCTGTAAAATGGGGAAATCAGTGATCTGCTTTGTAAAGGTAACTGAATTATAAAAATTGATCATTATTCTGATTCATAACCTAATGTTAAATTATATTTTAATAGAATAATCGCAACAAATGAAGTTCAAATCACATTAAGCATACCTATTTATAGCTAAAATTATACCTGTAGTAAATTAGTTTTATAAGATGCAAATGGATTATTGCCTTGCAATAATTAATACTTTATTTAACTGTTATAAACATGGACAATAACATACAAATCCTTACCAGATTGTTAATAAAATCAATAGGAGAGACAATATTGACTCTTACTGAAACAATATAAATTCAAATACCACGGGATAAATCTCTGAGATCCAGAATCTTTGATAATGTCACCAGCAATATCTCACAATTTCCACAAAAGAGGAAAATATTTGACATATTAATTGTAAAAGGTAAAGGTTTCCCCTGTTCAGACATGTGCGGCTCTAGGGGGCAATTCTCATCTCTGTTTCTTAGCTGAGGGAGCCAGTGTTGTCTTAAGACATTTCTGTGGTCATGTGACCAGCATGACTGTACACTGAGGTGCACAAAACACTGTTACCTTCCCACTGAAGTGGTATCTATTTATCTACCCACATTTGCATGTTTTAGAACTGCTAGGTAGGCACGAGCTGGTGCAAGTAACAGGAGCTCACCCCATTGTGCAGGACTCAGGTCTTGAACCCAGGCTGTCAGCTTTACAGTTGACAAGCTCAGCGACTTTAACCACACAGCCATCATACCCCCTATTATTTGCAAATTAGTGTAAATGTAATGTTAATTAAATTTGAAATTATTAATTTTTCTACCTTTAATTTGGCTGGAATCAAATCATCTTGGAAGATATTTTTTAACATTTTTATTTATAATCACTATATGCTAAGACTGGCTTCAAAGTGAGTATCTGAGTATTAATCTACTTATCAAGAAGAATAGATTCATTAAAAAAAAATAATCAGCACCATAAAATGCTAGCTGTAATTCCAAAATATGACTTTAAGCCATACATAAAGTCAAATTTTGGAATTAAATAAATTAAAACCATTAATCCAAAATTAAGGATTTTTATATTTTAGAACTTTTTTTAATGAAGTTTTAAGTCCTCCGATTAATGCCTTTGAACTGTGGTGCTGGCTTATATTGTTGTGTATACCATGGACTGCCAGAGCAAGCAACAGAGAGGTGCTGAATCAAAGTCTACATCTGATTTACTTTGGCAAAATCATGTGTTCAAATTCATTGAAGTCAATTATGCTAGGAATAGTTAGTGGAGAGGTGGTATTCAGCAGGTTCTGACCAGTTCTGGAGAACTGGTAACGGAAATTTTGAGTAGTTCAGAGAACTGGTAATACCACCTCTGACTGGCCCCACCCCCATCTATTCTCTGCCTCCCGAATCCCAGTTGATAGGGAGGAAATGGGGATTTTGCAGTAATCTTCCCCTGGAGTGGGGAGGGAATGGAGATTTTACAGTATCCTTCCCCTGCCACACCCACATGCCATGCCCACCAAGCCATGCCACGCCCACCAAGTCACACACAGAGAACCGGTGGTAAAAAATTTTGAATCCCACCACTGGGTAGTGGAACAAGAAGGGGCATGCAAAGGAAAATGCTGGCTTGATAACATCAAAACTGATACAATGATGAACATCCAACAAGGGAAATAAGCTGCGCTTGACAGGATAGGATGGAGAGCACTTGCCCATAAAGTGGCCAAGAGTTGGACACAGTTAAATGGTTAAAACAACAACAAAGTCCTCTGATATTAGAGATAAATTGCATATTCTTTTAACAAATAAATATCACACCAGAGATCTTTAATAACTCTCAGTGAATACTATCTCAATTTGATGGTTTTTGATTTTTAAAATTTCTTATCATTACCTGCAGCAAGTCTCCAAATTCCTCTTCTGAAAAAGGAAAACCAGGCACAGATACCTGTGGTTTATATTTTATTTCTATTTTATTTTTGCAGTAAAGATTAAAGTAATTTAACAAACTTTTTTCAGTAATGACTGATACCCCCAAACCTTAAAGAATCAGCTTACTTACCCAAAACCAATGGCCACCCAATAATTATGAACGCTCTGATGTGGTCCCACCATTGGCAGAATATCTGGAGAATATGTTATAGGACCTGCAACTACATTGATAATATCTGCTTCTCTCAGGACAGGGACCATTTCCATAGCAGCTTCGACATGATCAATTATTCGATCTAAATCAGATTCAAAAAGCTCCTTTCCAAAGCCTTAAAAAAAAGTGTGATACATTTTGTATGTATTATCTTTCCACTTTAATATATTTTCTATCTTATACAGAGCAAGCAAATGTTCCCGTTCTCAGTAAGTCTCCAATGTTATAATATTGGACATGTAAGCAAAAAATATAAATTTGGGTATAAATATAAATTCGGAAGAGCACAGCAAAGAAGCAATGACTAGTATACATTCATAAGCAAGGTTGTCAAAAGCTCTTTTTGTCTTTATAGATATACAGGGGAAACTCAAAAAATTAGAATATCGTGCAAAAGTTCATTTATTTCTGTAATGCAATTTAAAAGGTGAAACTAATATATGAGATAGACTCATTACATGCAAAGCGAGATAGTTCAAGCCTTGATTTGTCATACTTTTGATGATTATGGCTTACAGCTCATGAAAACCCCAAATTCACAATCTCAGAAAATTAGAATATTGTGAAAAGGTTCAATATTCTAGGCTCAAAGTGTCCCACTCTAATCAGCTAATTAAGCCATAACACCTGCAAAGGGTTCCTGAGCCTTTAAATGGTCTCTCAGTCTGATTCAGTAGGAATCACAATCATGGGAAAGACTGCTGACCTGACAGTTGTGCAGAAAACCATCATTGACACCCTCCATAAGGAGGGAAAGCCTCAAAAGGTAATTGCAAAAGACGTTGGATGTTCCCAAAGTGCTGTACCAAAGCACATTAATAGAAAGATATGTGGAAAGGAAAAGTGTGAAAGAAAAAGGTGCACAAGCAGCAGGGATGACCGCAGCCTGGAGAGGATTGTCAGGAAAAGGCCATTCAAAAGCGTTGGGGACTTTCACAAGGAGTGGATTGAGGCTGGAGTCAGTGCATCAAGAGCCACCACACACAGATGGATCCGGGACATGGCCTTCAAATGTATTCCTCTTGTAAGCCGCTCAACAACAAACAACGTCAGAAGCGTCTTACCTGGGCTAAAGACAAAAAGAACTGGGCTAAAGACAAAAAGAACTGGTCTGTTGCTCAGTGGTCCAAAGTCCTCTTTTCTGATGAGAACAAATTTTGCATCTTATTTGGAAACCAAGGACCCAGAGTCTGGAGGAAGAATGGAGAGGCACACACTGCAAGATGCTTGAAGTCCAGTGTGAAGTTTCTACAGTCTGTGTTGATTTGGGGAGCCATGTCATCTGCTGGCGTTGGTCCACTGTGCTTCATTAAGTCCAGGGTCAATGCAGCCGTCTACCAGGTTTCCTTCTGCAGACGAGCTTTATGGGAATGCTGACTTCATTTTCCAGCAGGACTTGGCACCTGCCCACACTGCCAAAAGTACCAAAACCTGGTTCAATGACCATGGGATTACTGTGCTTGATTGACCAGCAAACTCGCCTGACCTGAACCCCATAGAGAATCTATGGGGCATTGCCAAGAGAAAGATCAGACATGAGACCGAACAATGCAGAAGAGCTGAAGACTGCTATTGAAGCATCCTGGTCTTCCATAACACCTCAGCAGTGCCACAGGCTGATAGCATCCATGCCACGCCACATTGAGGCAGTAATTGATGCAAAAGGGCCCAAACCAAGTACTGAGTACATATGGATGCTTATACTTTTCAGAGGTCCAATATTGTTCTATGTACAATCCTTGTTTTATTGATTTAATGTAATATTCTAATTTTCTGAGATGGTGAATTTGGGGTTTTCATGAGCTGTAAGTCATAATCATCAAAATTATGACAAATCAAGGCTTGAACTATCTCGCTTTGCATGTAATGAGTCTATCTCATATATTAGTTTCACCTTTTAAGTTGCATTATTGAAATAAATGAACTCTTGCACGATATTCTAATTTTTCGAGATTCACCTGTATATGTATAATGTAAAAATCCAATTAACAAGTCTGAGCACCCAGCATGTACCAATGAAATTTATTTTTTCCAAGAAAAATTACCTGGTGGGACTCCATCTTCTACCCAAGATTTCTGCAGTTTCATTTTTTCTTGATTTTCATATGGCCCTAATAAAAGGCCATCTCTTTCTTGTCTTAGATAATATGAACCTTCTAAGTCACGAAGAACAGCCAATTCCTTCTTCAGGACTTTCACTTCAGGGATAGTTCCAGTAACAATATATTGGTGATGAACAGGTATAAGTGGATGATGTAGTCCAATCATTCTACCTATTTCTCGAGCCCAGAAACCTAAAAGCACAATGTACAGAAATATAAATATTAGAATGACATGATCCTGGCCAACAAATAGCACAATCTTTTTTTTTTTAAGTACAATATTTAAAAAGTAAAATTCAATGTTGTTAAATATGACTGGTTCAAGGAAACCATAACCCACACACTTATGCCTGGGCTGCAGCTTTCTATTATAATGTATCCAACTAATATTTTAAAAAGTCAAAGGAAGGAAAGCCCAGAAATAAACAGGATAACTTCAGGTTTATTTATGTCTGCAGTCTTTATATCCTGCCTTTATTATTTTTATAAATAATGCAAGCAGCGAGCACACACAATACTCTTTCTTTCTCCTCTTTTCCCTGTAACAACAACCCTGTGAGTGAATTGGGCTGAGAGAGTGTGATTGTTCCAAGGTCACCCAGCCAGCTTTCATGCCTAAGGAGCAACTAGAACTCATAGACTCCTGGTTTCTAAACAAGCACCCGAAGCAAACCACGCTGGCTTTCTGTTCAGTGTGTTGCTTGGTTTTTATTATTAAACAGTAATAAGAGCAGGCACTGATTTCATTAAAACACATTAATATCCTCAAGAATTACAAAATTGGAAAGCTAAAATGGTAAAATTAAAAGGACATCCCTGCAGATAGATGATAGATTAGAAATCAGGGGTGGGCAACTATGGCCCTTTTACAACCTGTGGACTTCAACTCCCAGAATTCCTGATACAGCCAAACTGGCTCAGGAATTCTGGGACTTGAAGTCTACAGGTTGTAAAAGGGCCACAGTTGCCCACCCCTGGATTAGATGACAGACAGACAGACAGACAGACAGATCCTTCCAGGTTTCCATACCAATGTAGCTCTATCAAGTGAGCAGGGAGAGATCCAATAATGTTTTTTGACTGCAGACCCTGTATTTTGGAATAGCTTCCTCCTGAGGCCAGGTTAGCATCCCTGGTAGTAGCTTTTTAAAGCTGGTAAAAAAATCAGAAGGGTTCGGAAGTGCATTTAAAGACTAAGAAAAAGCTACTACTTTTATTTTCTGGTTGTTATTTTTCTTTCTTTTGTATTGTATTGTATTGTGTTTGTTTGTTTGTTTGTTTGTTTGTTTGTATGCATCCAGCTAATACCATTAATGTGTTTTATAAGTTTACACTGAATGAGTGTAATCTGTTAGTTGTAACCTAATTTATAATGGTGTATAAATACAAGAAACAAAGTAATAACTAATGTCCCCATCCCAGCTTTCCCGATGTTCCTTTGCTATGGACAGCTGCATATGCACTGTATAAAATTTAACTGGATGATCTGGAAAATCTTCCTATAAAGGTCATATAAACTTTCTTAAGAAGGTATCTGTAAAACTCACAGTGAAGCGAGATGTACCCAATCTTGTTGCTGGTATCCTTAAGATTTATATTGACTGTTTCCCTATGACTATCACTAAGTGTTGTATCTTATGATTCTTGATGAATGTATCTTTTCTTTTATGTACAACGAGAGCGTATGCACCAAGACAAATTCCTTGTGTCTCCAATCACACTTGGCCAATAAAAAATGCTGTTCTGTTCTGTTCTGTTCTGACTGGCCCTGAGTAACAACAGTAGGTTTCCTAGTAAGGAATCTTAGTAAATCTCCCTTTTAACGGAGCAAGTAGGAGAATGCTGTAGTGAATCTGAGTAGGTATCTACAATGGTTGGGCAGTTCCAAGATACTTAGCCAGCTGCAAACTCAAATTCCTTTTATAGTTCGAAGTCCAGGGCTTGCTATTTTAACAGTACCTTTGTTGATTGTAGTCCACAGATAGCATAGGATTGCAGTTTTTCCAATAAGGTCATATTCCAGGCTAAATGAAATTTATCATGAACTATGAGAATCAGACTGGCTGTACAAAAGTTAAACTTTAGTCAGAGATTAAAGATCACCAGACAAGCACAAGTTTCCAACTCAGACAGATGATCTTCTAGACATGAAGCACAAGTAGGAATCTGAAACACTGTTCTTATGGAAGTTAGAGTGCACTATTTCTAGAAGGGAATACAATTAGTCCTCTACTTACAACCACAATTGAGCCCACATTTTCTGTTGTTAAGCAAGACAGTTGTTAATGATATTGCCCCATTTTATGACTTTTCTTGCCATAGTTGTTAAGTGAATCACTGCAACTGTTAAGTTAGTAACACAGTTATAAAGTGAATCTGGCTTCCCTGTTGACTTTGCTTGTCAGAAGGTCACAAAAAATGGTCACATGATCCCAGGACAATTCAACCGTCATGAATATGAATCAGTTATTAAGCATTTGAATTTTGATCACATGACCATGGGAATGTTGCAACAGTCATAAGTCACTTTTTTCAGTACCCTTCTAACTTCGAACAGTCATTAAACAAATGGTTGTAAGGTACCTATAACTGGAGTATAGTCGAATTGAATTGTGTATAGGAGTTGAGCCAATCACCTACTACCATAGGTTTCTATGGTAGTAGGTGATTGGCTCAACTTCTATACACAATTTAGTTGTGTATAGTTTAATATTTTAAATTATATAAATTAATATTTATATATTATATAAATAGTTTATATTTAGTTTAATACAGCAGACACTATATTACCTCCTTTTAAGAGAAAGAGAGAGAGAGAGAGAGAGAGAAAGGAAGGAAGGTGGGAGGGAGGGAGGGAGGGAGGGAGGGAAGGAAGGAAGGAAGGAAGGAAGGAAGGAAGGAAAGAAAGAAAGAAAGAAAGAAAGAAAGAAAGAAAGAAAGAAAGAAAGAGCGAGCTACCATGCATCTCTATGCAACTCATGCTATATTTTCAGCTGGAACTTCTTCCTACCTAAACCTTAACACAGCACCCAGGTATTTAAAACCATTAAACATCTCGGATTAATCTTGAAACTTTTTGCATACTTGTACTTAAACAGAAAGAATTTTGTTTTAACGCATATGGCTTCAATTCCAAAGCTACTTTTTATGAAGACCAAGTCATGAAGCGGAGATTGGAAACAAAGTAAAGGTTAACCTTCTCATTCCTTCTAACCCCTTCCTACGTATGTGGAAGTGAGCCTTTCTACTTGCCGTTTTATTACCAAGAATTTACCACTATCTTCAAATTAAAGAGTTGCCTTCCAACAACAAAAAATACAAGTTTGGAAACTGCCTGAATAGTAACACAGCACATAATTTTTGTATGTTAAACATCGAACCACAAAGTGGAAGAGGGAAAATATTTTGAGGAATATTTTGCTTTTTGCTCGTCAAATTTAAAAGGCCATTGGACTCCATAAAAGTTGTGACAGCAATAGACATAATGATGTAACTAACCATGAAGCAGCAGCTAGACAAACTGCAGATTTCAGAACAGTTTGAATTATGCTTTGGAAATTGTGTAATGTATGCTCTGAAATTGAGCAAATGAATGAGACCTAAAGGTAAGCTGTTCTCTACAAAAGCCACTCTGAATTTACCACACTAAACCTGGCATGAAAACGCAGAGCAAATTATTTGTTTTCAAGAGGAGGATATGGAACAAAGAAAGAAGATTGGCTCCAACAGTTTTAGGAGACTACATACTTTTGTTTACCTAGACTTCCCAAGGGAGTAATCAATACTGTGTTAGTTCCAAGGGTTCTTTTGGCTAAACATTGAATCCAGGCATACTTCAGTTATTAACTTAATGAGAGAATGAGAAAAACCTGCATAGACTGGTCTACCAATATCTGCCTTTTCCTTTAGGGTTTGTTTTTGTCTTTCTACTCTCCTTATTTTGCTGTTGCTTTCCCAGATATTTCCTGTCAGTCCTCTGAAATAAGCCAGATCAAGAAACAGAGAACGAAGGCATTCCAGGAAAGCTCTTTTATTATTGTAGGGCCAAGTTTCTCAACCTCAGCAATTATAAGATGTGTGAACTTCAACTTCCAGAATTCCCTAGCTAGCATGAGGTTGAGAAACACACTTGAAGGGTATATTCAAAAAATCTTGAAAGTCCGTCAGAGTTCCCTTTGCCTCATCTTATAACAAACAAAATCAAGGCAGGGTTGTTTTAAGTCTTTTTGCAGCTTCCTTTTTTTTCCCATGACTACATAGTATTTTCTCAAAATACTTTCTTAATGGTTTGCTCAATTGTACCCTACCCCAAAGCCAAGTCAAAATTTCTTCAACCTGGGATATCACTCCCCTCGAAGTCTGCATGGCTGTGAGCTTGTTGCCCTTCAAGAAAGTCATAAAGGCTTGGCTGGGCCAGGGGCATAGGGAAACTTATTAATATAATACAAATTTGTGCTGGTCTTTGTTGTTTCTGTGCTTTTATTATTACATTGTGTTTTCAACTGTTCTGTACACTGCTTCAAGTTGCATAAAGATTAAATGGCATTACAAATCGAATAAGGAAACTTCCCATGTTATGGAATCTCGTTTTTTTAAACCATTGCCACTATTAAGATCTGACATTAATAAATAAAAGGGATAGATGGACCTTTACCATACCCAGGGGCAATTGATGACATGCCTCTACCCCACTTCTTTCTCACTTGGAAAGAAAATGATATATATAGTAATTGAGAGTTCAGTGCCAATTCTCTAATTTGGTGCCAGTTCTCATGAACTGATCCAAAGGATAAGATAATCTGTTCCCAACTGGCCCCCTTCTTTGCCAAGGGTGATAGAAGCAGAAAAGGCAGGTATGCCAGGGAAATGGTTATTGTGATGCCATTTTTCTTACCCCAAGGATCACTCTACAGACAATGTAGGGCATGTGTGGGGATAGCTTTAGATGATGCAGCCAGGGTTTATTTATTTATTTATTTAATTATTGGTTCGATTTATATGCCACCCTTCTCCGGAGACTCATGGCGGCTTACAATGCGTTAAGCAATAGCCTTCATACTTTTGTATATACCTGCTTAGTAGGGCTTTCGCCCCCCCCAAGCGGTGTTCTTTTTTATACAAAGTCAGCTTATTGCCCCCACAAACCGGGTCCTCATTTTACCTACCTCGGAAGGATGGAAGGCTGAGTCAACCTTGAGCCTGGTGAGATTTGAACTTGCAGTAATTGCAGGCAGCTGGTGCTACTTAACAGCACTTTAGTCTGCTGTGCTACCAAGGCTCTACCAAGGGTTGGCAATCCACTTAGCTTGGCTTGGTCTGGCAGGTCTGCAATGTAATTACCAATAATTGCTATGAAACCCAAAGCATTCAAAAGATGAATTCACTGAAAATATCCTCCTGCTCTTGAATACTAGTCCTTTTCATGTCAGGCTATGGAGCAGGTGGTCCAGAGGGCTTTCTGAAGGTGTAAAGTGATCATGGGAACTTTTTCTAATTTGATCACTGCTCGATTAGAACCACAGCTTCTGCAGTTGCTTTAAAGGCTACTTTTTGATGGATACTACATTCATGTTGGAAGCCCCAAAGCACTTCCGGATTGGAAGGATTAGCTGATGACATCATCGTTGCCCATGGGTCGCCCAGCTGGAGGCTCCTTTCATGTCCTTGTTAAGTTGTGACAGAAGTGATACACTACCCAGTGGTGGGATTCAAAAATTTTTACCACCGGTTCTCTGTGTGTGACTTGGTGGGCATGGCATGGCTTGGTGGGCATGGCATGTGGGTGTGGCAGGGGAAGGATACTGTAAAATCTCCATTCCCTCCCCACTCCAGGGGAAGGTTACTGCTGGGTTGGCAGGAGCTGGAGTGAGTGACGGGAGCTCATCCCACCATGTGGCAGCAACCGGCTCTCCACCGTGAGCTTGCCGATTGTCAGCCCAGCGTCCTAACCACACGAGCCACTGCTCTCCTTTTTTTGATGGATAAATTGACATTTTAACTTACACATGTGTAACAAAATTATTTCTCAAACACCAGCTCCTCACAAACGCTTATCCATTGTCTGCATCTCATTTGTACCATTCCAGCCGACCCTTGGATAACATCCAAGAAATATAAAAACTTTATTTGTTGCCAGATAATGGTTATTAGGTCAACTGGTTGATAATAATTTTAATAACATTTTGTAGATGTAGCCAAGAGCACTCCACAGCATAATAATATGTCTCATATACCCTCAAGCCCCAAGAGTGTGCTGTTGGGAGTTATCACATTACCTATAGTACTGAACAATCATACAAATCAATTCTTTCCTGTCATCTAGTTCCACCTGACTGATGTCAGAAAAAATGACTCTGTGGATGAGCCTTCAGTTAAATTTATACTTTGGAAATCTGGCTTTGTATTTATCCTATATATTGGTGCGCAACTTAGATCCACTGATTTATGTAATGTAGCTGGGGATAAACTAACTTAGATTCTTTATTATTGTTCGCATTAAACCTTAAAAGGCAAATAATGAAATCTTTTTATAAGCTACAGAGCAAAAAAATTCCATGAGATCATGAAATATAAAGTGAAAAGCAAATTATTACTTTATTTTGTAATATATTTCCTACAACATTAATACTTTGATACGTAAGTTACATTTTCCTGCCTAGATGGATTTTTTTATAGTTATAATTAAACTATAAAGGCAGGAAAGCATAATTCATCACTTACCAGCTGTATTCACAATTCTGTTTGCTTTAATTGTTCCATGTGGAGTTTCAACTTCCCATGTTCCGTCTAGTCTACATTTTAAATTAGTTACTTGAACTGGATAATTTAACTGAGCTCCATATTTCCTGGCTCCTGCAGCCAAGGCCATAGTAAGTGAATAAGGATCTATATGACCATCTCCAGGATTGTACAGACCAGCTAAAACCTGTATCAAACATAATTTATTTATGTTATTTATATTAGTTTTACTTTTTCTCCCTGGTTCCACAGCCAGTAGAAAGTAAGAAAGATGTGAATACAAAACTTGGCAGCAATATATAGCTTCTAGAAATTCAAAATCTTTCCATATGGAATTTAAAAAAAACATGTTAGTTTGTCTAATATAGTTTTGCATCTAAGACATGTTTCTTTGCATTTCTTAAACATTTTTATGGGTATTGTAAATAAATAAATTGTATTCACATACCTTTTCCATGTTTAATAACGGAAATAATTCTTGTACTTTTTCTGGATCAATAAGATATTGTTCTGTGGGGTGCCAACCTGTTCGAGTCATTTGGTATTTAAGTTCATCTACTCTTGTTGGAGTTGATGCAATTCTAACACTCCCTGGGCAATGAAATCCCACAGCCTGAGAGAAACAAAACAAAACAATAACAACTTATCATCTTCCAAAACCGAACATTCATGAGCACTTATGCATAATTCAATAAAGTTCAAAATAATTACAATAAAATATATCTTGATCTAGGTTCTTTCTCATCAAATTAAATAAGGTAGTTACAAATATTTGTGTATTTCACATAATTATTATTTAACTTGTGGTAAATTAGGTATTATGCCATCACTGACTATTGGGGGCGAATCATTGGCCCCCACGGAGAGGGCTCGCAACTTGGGCGTCCTCCTGGATTCACGGCTGTCTTTAGAAGAGCACTTGACGGCCGTGACCAGGAGGATTTTTCATCAGGTTCGCCTGATTCGCCAGTTGCGTCCCTTTCTGGATCGGGACTCGTTACGCACAGTCACTCATGCCCTCGTCACCTCCCGCCTGGACTATTGTAATGCTCTCTACATGGGGCTCCCCTTGAGGAGCACCCGGAGGCTCCAACTGGCGCAGAGTGCGGCCGCGCGGGTGGTAATGGGAGCGACATGGCGCTCCCATGTGACACCTCTCCTGCGCGAGCTGCACTGGCTCCCGGTGGTCTTCCGGGTGCGCTTCAAGGTTTTGGTTACCACCTTTAAAGCGCTCCATGGCTTAGGACCTGGTTATCTACGGGACCGCCTACTACCACCAATAGCTTCCCACCGGCCAGTACGCTCTCATAGAGAGGGACTCCTCTGGGTGCCGTCAGCCAAACAATGTCGGCTGGCGACCCCTAGGGGGAGAGCCTTCTCTGTGGGGGCACCTACCATCTGGAATGAGCTCCCCCCAGAGATACGGAGGATCCCGGATCTGCGCACCTTCCGCCGCGCTGTGAAGACCTTTTTATTCCATCAGGCGGGCTTGGCCTAATCTCTTCCCTTTTTAAACATGTAAATTTTAATCTGTTTTTAAATTATTGGGGTGTTTTAAATTTGTCTGGGCCAAAATGATTTAATCTGATTTTATCTGGTTTTTTAAATTTTTTGTATCTATGTTATTTTATTGTTTGGCTGTTCACCACCCTGAGTCCTTCGGGAGTAGGGCGGTATACAAATCAAATAAAACAAACATAAAACATAAAACATTATTACCTGCCCTGTTTCCTCCTCTAACTTTTCATAAAGCTTGATGCTGTAATGATGGACTTTCTTCAGATTTATTCCAGGATGGAAATATGTTGTCAAACCCGCCTTTAAAAAAGATCAACAAAAGATTTTCACAACATTTATCATTTCGTTTCCATTAACTTTTTCTTGAACAATAACATTTAAGGTTTTGCTTTAATTTTTGCGTTCAACATATCACTACCATTCCCATTAAAATCTCTAATATATTTTTCCCAACATTCTTTCACTTCAGTTTATTCAAAATGAATTCCTAAATTTTATATTTAATTTCATTTACTTTGCTGCAGATTCTTCAGTGAACCCTTCACCCACTTCAAAACTATTTTTAATTTCTATCAAATTTGTTCTCAAGTCTTTGAGTAAACACTCTGTAATATCTTTTTTCTTCATACATACTGTAGTTTTTCCTATCCTCATTTTCATAACTATCATTTTTTTACATTTATTATCCTCATCTTCCATTTCATTCACTTTTTCATAATTCTTGGATTATGAAAATTCATCCTTTTCACCATTCTTGTTACCACACTTCCAGATAGTATAATACATTCAATATTCAAAATGTTGGTATGTTTAAAATTGGTTGACTTCAGACTTCTGAGTGAGGAATGGGAACTAGCACATCTCCAAATGAGTCAACATCATGGCTGCACTCTGGATCTGGAGAGGTCAGGAGAATGCCCACTTGTGGCCATTATTCATCTGAATGGCTATTATTCATAAGGAGACCATAGGAGGGCAATTTTCAATGGATTTGAGTCCCAGGAAATAAAGGAAAATGTCCATGCTTTCAACCATGATGGAACATTTTTAAGGATATTGGGTTTGTTAGTCTCACTTTCTAATTATTTTTGGAAATTGTCTATTTATCCATCTTGAGGCTAATAGAGATCTTCAAAATTATAGCACATTGGGCAAATTGTACAAATTGTACAAAAAGGCAATTAAGAAGACTGTTAATCCCTTCAATGGTCTGATCTGGGCTGTTTTAGAATCAAATGGAAAAAATTGTAAAATGATTGTATATATTATAACAGATATCACAGATACCTCCAACTGCAGGCAGCACACCTGAACTCCTAAGCAAAATATGAATGAAAATTAAATGACTTAGTGTGATTGATTTGGCTAAATGCCTCTTTATTTTGCCATTTACTCCAGAGAGTCGAACCTAATTTGGGGGTGGGGGGGTTTCAGGTTCCTACACGGGTGGTTAAAACTTGAAGAGTTTCAAAATAGCCCAGATAGTCCATTATTATGTGGCATAAATGTTGAATTGATAATATTTTTACTGTAGGGAGATTTGAGGAAGAAGCTTTGAAGGAATGAACCTTCAAAGTCTTAATTTTGATAAGAGGTACAAGATTCAAAGTGAAACTGAAAAAGACCCAGTTGGTTAAAACTAAGATAACATTGGATGGAGAGGGGAGGCCCCCTGAGGTGGACGAAGTTTCTGCTTAGTGGAAAGGGCTCCACTAAAAATTTTTAAAGAAATAAAAACAATTATAGGAGCTTTCAATTTCATTAAACAAGAAATTCCAAATGTTGCTTTTATAAGACAGGGCCTTTATTTAAATGTTAAAAAAGATAGTTCATTGGGAATGGGAACCAAAGGAGGAAAAAATTCTACAACTTCTAAAATTGTGGGCATTCAGAAATACAGCCTTACGGCCTCCAGATTGTAAGAAACCATTTCAGGTAAGAACTAGCTGGTCAGATGTGGTTATGGAGATGGCTCTGTTGTAAAAAACAAAAGGTTGGAAAGTAGTTTATGATTCATGAACAGTGACAAGTTCTGGATCTAAATATAATATCTGCAAAAAAAGTTTGGGCTATGTCTTTCAAATTACATTCAGAAATAGTTTGAGTAATTTTGCAAAGCTCTTATTTAGCCTTCAGATACCTTTTTTTCAAGCACCTCACATTTCTAACGAAAGACTTACCCAAAGAACTGTTTATTTAACACTGACAGTTGTAGTATTGCAGACTCCAGCCAGACCAAATCTGTGGTTTGTTGCTTTATTAGAACATGATTGCATGCAACAAGAATGATAACATAGAACACAGTGCCCTAATAAGCAATGTTTATGACCGGAACAGAAAATATAATTTATTAATCAGGCTTCTTGGTGAGAGGACATTAGATAGTCTTCAAGGGGAACAGTTTCAACTACTGGTTGGAAAATTGGAACTGCCCTTTAATACAATATTAACGCTCTGGAAGCAGGATTGGTGATGATACAACAGGTTTTCTTTATTATCCCACCTTCACTATTTTTATAAATAATTCAAGGTGGCAAAATATCTAACACTCCTTCACCTTCTATTTTCTCAACAGCCCAGTTAGGTGAATTAGGGTGAGAGTGACTGGCCCAAAGTTACCCAGCTGTCTTTTCATGACCAAAGTGGGACTAGTAGTCTCCTAGTTTCCAGCCTGGAGCCCTAACCATGCACTGAAGGATAAGGTCAGTCAGATAATAATAATAATAATAATAATAATAATAATAATAATAATAATAATAATAATAATAGCAGCCTTTATTGTCATTGTCATTAGATCATATATACAACGAAATCAATCAATCAATCAAAATTCATGGTCTGGATTTTTAAAAAGCAGCATAACATAAAAATAACAATTGTAAAAAAATCCTAGAACAATTAGCAGCTAAAAATTAATAGCATGAGGAAAGAACCATATAGTTTCTAACAACTATAGCTAGTGATAAGAATTCTGCAACCTTCTTAAAAGTTATGGAAAATTATCTTAAAGCAAATTATGGAAATGACAAAATATCTCAGGTTTAGCCCCACTTAGCATACTTTATTTATTTACCTATCCAATTTATAGAACTGCCCACCGAGTGTAAGTGGCTCTAGGCAGCATACGGCAAAACTAAAACAAATATCTAAAATCATTATCATTAACAAATAGATTTGTAACCATGATTCTAGCTAATATTTTATATGCTTTTGTGATGCACGTTTCATAGAAGAGTGAAAAATCCTGCATTAATCAGAGCAAGTATACAGTCACAGTTAATATTACAAGGCAACAATATGATTCATTCTCTGCTTAAAAAAAACTTATTTGGTCCTTCAGTAGGATTTGTGAATGAGAGACAATGGCTAACTTAGTCACTGTGTTCTACCTGTGTAGCTGCATGAATCCAACTTTGTAATGCTGCAAGAAATGCAAGTGGAAACCTACTCATTTTGCATATAAAAAGTTAGCTACACCAGTTAAAGGGAACAGCTCCTGCTAGAGAATGGAATACTGCATTAGACAGGAAAAAAAGGACAGATGCATCGTTTATTACGCAATCACCCTTTCATGTTGATGAGTACATATTAAGTATTACTACTATTACTATTAAGGTTATGCTGTCCTGTTAATTCCAAATACTGGGATATCCAACACTACCAGATATTTCCAGGGAATCACTTTTGGAACCTAAGGCTAAGGCATCCAATTTTGTCAGCCTTCCCCTCTGCCAGGGGAAGACATATAAATACAAGACATGGTGAAAAGCTTTCTAGAGCTCAGATTTTTCTAAACATTATCAAAGAACTCTTGGAAACCCCATGAGCTTCCTTTAGGAATTATCCAAGAAAGCCTGGTGCACTAAGGAAACAGATCAAACCATTAATCCCATTTTAGTTCCAGCAGAAATAATTCAAGGACAGGGTTTTTAATGATTAAACCATACATCTTAATACATGCCTAAATCAATATAGCAATCGTACTTGCATATGTAAACAGTCAAAAATTTGGAAAGTTAGTACTTCAAGATTTTCAGACTGAGAATATTATTTTTTTTAGCTTCTAATAACAAAACAAACTTTATTATAAAGGTGATTTTCTTCTCATATTAGAAGAAAAATATTTGTTATAAAACTTATTAGAAACTAAAGTATAAATGAACATATATGATGACCACAAATGTTTTCCATCTTAGATATTATCGTACATTCTAGTTGTGTCCAACTTGGCATAATAAAATGATACATGATCTGGTATCTAGGATTACTCTCTGACTGCAAACTACTGAAAACAACTTCTTTGTAACAAGTGATGACACTTGGGTGAGCCAGGAACTCTTATGCGTTCCAGAGCAAGATGTCTTATGTACTAACTGAAATATAAATAGACTGTTTTTCAGTGAATGCAACCTTTCTCTTCCTGTTACATCAGAGTGTTTTTCTTCTTAGACTGCAACCCTAAAAGTTCACAAAATCAGATTGATGTATGTTAATTTAAATGCAGCAGTAGATTAAATGCCATTTTTATCTCTACACATAATTTGTTTATTGTTGAAGCTCTGTACATCTGCTTCCAAAATATCATGTCCCACAAAACATAACTGTTAAGTTATTGAACACGGTTTCTGTCTCTCTGGGTTTCATATTACAGTGGTAATCCAGGAACATTCCCTTCAATCGGAGCGTACAGTTGGTTGCCAGAACAGCTGCAAGTGGACAAGTGGTTCTTTTACACTAGCATTAAGCATCAGTAATTAATGAGTTTCAGCTAGATGACATTTTACGCTGCATTGCACAGTAAGACTCTAGAAAGAGTGCAGAGAAGAGCAACAAAGGTGATTAGGGAACTGGAGGCTAAAACATATGAAGAACGGTTGCAGGAATTGGGTATGTCTAGTTTAATGAAAAGAAGGACTAGGGGAGACATGATAGCAGTGTTCCAATATCTCAGGGGCTGCCACAAAGAAGTGGGAGTCAAGCTATTCTCCAAAGCACCTGAGGGCAGGACAAGAAGCAATGGGTGGAAACTAACCAAGGAGAGAAGCAACTTAGAACTAAGGAGAAATTTCCTAACAGTTAGAACAATTAATCAGTGGAACAACTTGCCTCCAGAAGTTGTGAATGCTCCAACACTGGAAGGTTTTAAGAAGATGTTGGATAACCATTTGTCTGAAGTGGTGTAGGGTTTCCTGCCTAAGCAGGGGATTGGAGTAGAAGACCTCCAAGATCCCTTCCAACTCTGTTATTCTGTTCTAATTTAAATGGCTCACCAAAATCCATTTCTAGTCAAAAATGAATTGTGATCTAAGCACAGAAAATGTAGGTTTTGTTCCATGTTTAAAACATTAGAAATTTCACTTACTGCATGCCAAGTAGATCCAGCAGTGAGTTCAGATTTTTCCAACAAAAATACATCCTTCATGCCAGCCTTGGCCAAATGATAGGCAAGACTGACACCAACACAACCACCTCCAATAATTACAGTTTCTGCTGTGTCTTTCCACTTTGCTTCCACAGAAGATGGCTTTTGTTCCCTGGGGGGACAAATGATGGATGCTTCTAATTTCAGCATATTTTGTACACAATTACATACTGTAAAACACAATATCAATTGTTCTTTATATACTGTTTTTATTAACAATTAAGTTGTAGAATATTAATAGAATTTTGACCTACACAGATGAAAATGATGAACACTAACTGTTTTCATCAAACATCAGGATTAAAGAACTAAGAATGGCATGGGGAATTATTTATTAGTTTCTTTATTGTTGTTTAGCTACAGACAGAATCTTGCCAGAGTAAAGCAATCATCTGCATAAATAGATACACTCTGTGAGTTGCTGAAAAGGAGCAGGGCTCCATCTTTGCTCTCTTATTGCCTACCAGACATTTTTGCCAGTATCCTTTTGTGGAGATGCCAAAATGGGTAGATAGCATATCAATAGTGATTCTAGACCAGTATTTCTCAACCTTAGAAGCTTGAAGATGGGTGGACTTCAACACTCAGAATCCCCCAGTCAGCGCTGGCTGGGGGATTCTGGGAGTTGAAGTCCACCTGTCTTCAAGCTTCCAAGGTTGAGAAACACTGTTCTAGACTATGACTCCCAATCAACTGAACGTTCATGCAACTTGAGACACTAATTCTGTGCTTTGTTTAATTGTTTAATGACATTTGTACATCTTCTACTGTGCCAACATGGTGTGTAATTATAATATGCCAAAGATATAGTTTAATCATTCTTCTTTAATGGAATTTTCTGTAATAAGAACAAAAATAGAAGAAGTACAAAAATGTAAAGTTACAAATGACAGACTACATAATATGTCTCCTATTTAAAGAAAATCTTTATAAGGCAAATCATGCACAAGAGGCAAAATCTAATCTGGTGGCATCTCAAATGGAGCTATGTGAATGGCACATCCATGTTGTGTTGGATTCGAAACATAAATTATAGATAAGGAAGGAAGGAAAAATATCTCGTTTTCACCAACATACCCAAATACAGGTAGTCCTCAATTTACGATCACAATTGAGCCCAAAATTTCTGTTGCTAAGCAAAACAGTTAAGTGAGTATTACTCCATTTTATGATCTTTCTTGCTACAGTTGCTAAGTGAGTCACTGCAGTTGTTAAATTAATAACATAGTTAAGTGAATCTGGTTTTCCCATTGACTTTGTCAGACAATCGCAAAAGGTGATCACATGACCCTGAGATACTGCAACTGTCATAAATATGAACCAGTTGCCAAGCATCTGAATTTTGAACATGTGAGCACATGTGCTACAACAATCTTAAGTGTGAAAAAAGGTCATAACTCACTTTTTTCAGTGCTGTTGTAACTTCGAAAGGTCACTAAATGAACACAACAGTCAAGAACTACCTATAATTATCTAAGAAGCCAATTGAGTTAATCTAAAATGCTGCAGAGTAGTTTACAAACAGACAGATGAACTGTGTTCATTTCATGCTAAATATGCCAGAAATAGGTTTATGAATTGAATTTCCATAACATTTAACAGTCAGTTACAGTTCAATGCTTGCATTTGCACCAAATCAGGGCGAACTGGTAGTGGTGGTGGTGGGAGGCTCTGCCCACCTGCCCAGACTTCATCACTGATGCTCTGTGCATGCGCAGAACCACTGCATGTGAGCGAAGGGAGCGCGCACACATGCTCCCAATTCCGAACCGGTAGGTAAGTGGAACCCACTACTGATTTACACAATGTACTGAGTTTAATGTTTTAACTTTGCTTCTTTTTATTAATTACCCTGTTGGGCAACTTAGTTGACTTCTTGGTTAACTTATAATTTAATGTATTGTGCAATCCAAGAAAATAGATTACAGTACAGTAATTCCGTAACCAAGTTAAGCGTGCAGTGCAAGCACAGGGATAAAATTCAAGGATATTTCCAGTTGTATCATTCATTGTGCAATTATTTTGTCATTTAACTGAATATCTAAATTTCATCACATTCAACTCATCTGTCTATATTTTCTGCTTCTCCATTTTTTCTACAATAACAAAAATAAAAGGTGAAATAAGTGCAATGTGTCTTGGACTGGCACCATTAGCCACAATTTTTTTTTTTTGAAGGATCCAACCAGGCATGCATTAGGAATGAAATGTAATACACGTCTAAATATTATGGTGAGCAATTCTGTCATTAGGTCAGGGACAGGTTAGTTCAACTGTGTGCTTGGCTACAAAGCCTCTTGAGTGACTTTTTGTTTGAAAATTAAAGAAAAATGCAGTTGCCCCTCCAATATGTTTGGAGGAAGGGTAGAATAAAATGCAAATAAATAAATATTGGGCTTGCTGTTATCTAGACTGTGGGCAAAAATCACACACATGCAATCCCGCTCCCCTTCCTGTGTCTGTCAATATTGTAACATTTAAGTTATTTTAATGTCCTGGAATATCTAGGAATGGGGAATTTAAGAGATGTGTATCGCCTCCCACTATGGGCAGCCTACAGGAGAGGGACAGGGTAGGTGTCCAAGCAAACCACGCCACACACTTATAATACCCATGCAGGGACCAAAACTATATTTGTAGACTACCCTCGCCCTTGTACTGCCTGTAAAAGAGACGCAAAAATACACCGCCAACAATACAAGGGAGAGCTGAAGCCGGACTCACCACCTGTCAGTGGTCGGGCTGCAAGCAAAACCTCGAGAAGAAGATACGGGAAAGGCGGGCTGTTTTGCTCGCAGTTTTACTGACAGCAATCTCCGCGTTCCCCGGAGCATAGCTTCCCCCTCGAAGACGCTAGTACAAGTAGTGGATGGCAACGGGCACAAAGATCCCCCCGATCTCCCTTTCAAACCGAGCACTTGAGTAAACTTCGAGTTCCCTTAGTTGGCAGCCTAAGCTGAGGGGACTGGAACCGCCCGTCGCAGGCGATAGGCGGGATCAGCCTCCTTAGCGACCCTCCTGGGAGGGAGGAGACAGTTGTCCGAATGGTCTCGTCCCGCGACGCTCCTGGGGCTCCGTCCAAGTGGTTGCAGTGGGAAGTCATGGAGTTGAGGGGAGGCGGGGCGGGGGGGAAATAGGGCTATCTTAGGGGCCGAAGAAGAGCGGCTGGCTCGGGAAGCAGAAATGCAGCGGGAATCTTGGGATCTTCTGAGATTTACTCTGACAACGGTATACGTACCCGATTGGGTTTGCCATAGGGAGCCCGATGCGTAGGTTACTGGCTGGATTAGAAAAATAATTTAACTTGGCTTTCCATGAGTTTAGAGAAAAAGATTGCAGCCAACAAGACTAACTAAATCCTCAGTCTTCTTTTTTTCTTTTTTACTAGTGTTGAAATTAGTGTACATTCAAAGTGACCATAAAGTTATTCTAAGTCTACTAATAGGCGCACTGTTTTAAAATCCTGATAATAGTACACGTGGGCTGCTTAAGCAGGGTACAGAGAAACATAGATCTGTAATCTCCACCAGAACATACACACATGCACAATGCACACACGTGTCCATGTACGGGTCAACGGTGGAAATCGTAGCATGTTACATCACGGTCGCTCGGTGGAAGAAATGCCTTAATACGCCCTTCCCCCATCTGGCACCATCCGAAGGTTGGGAGTACGATTCCCAAGGCCCCGTACGTCGTCTGGGGACGAGGGGGATGGTAGTTGAGAATGATGGGAGCTGTAGTCGACGCGTTCCAAAAAATATTAAGATTTAGGAGAGGCTGCTCCAAAACGGCCCTTCCATTTTTACTTATTTCTTAGGTAGACGTTCTGGGTACGCGCGTGCAAATAAGAGGCTTTATTCAGTCGTGCGCCTCGCAGTCGAGGTGCGGATGATCTTGGCGGCAGGAGATCAGAAAGGGGAATACCGAAATCGCCGGGTCCGAAAGGAACCTTCAGGCCTCTCCCAATCCGCCCCGGGCTCCGAATCCGCCCACCTCAGCCTCCAGCCTATAAAATGCGAGGTTGGCGGGTTGTGCTTTGTTAAGTGCCCCGGCGGCGGACGAGGAGAAGTTCGACCAGCGAGAATACTTCGTCATGGCACCTATTGGAGGGAGCTCTAAAGCAAAGAAGGTAAAAAGGACAAGTGGCCGTTCGGGACGCATTTCTCCACATTCTCTTTTGCAGGGAACGAAAAGCAAGGAAAGTGCCCCTCTTGGTTGGCGAGGTTGCATATTAATAATCACAACGTATTATTCCTCTCCTGGAGGCCCCTTGGGAGGCTCTTGCAAACTTCTGGGAATTAGAAGAACAGAAGCGGTGGCGAGGAATGGTTTCGACTGGTTAGAAGAGGAAAGTACCAACCACGAGTTGAGACAAATGAATGCCAACTAGCTTTTCTCACTTGGCTCTTTCACTGCAATTTTTACTGCTACGGTTAGATCTGTGGCGTAAAACAACCGGGGGTACATAAACCTTGTTCCCATGTTTTTTGTTCTGATTATTTTTTAAATATTCTTTATTTTGTGATGCATATAACGTTTTCTTGTATAATATTTATAGAAGTTAATGTGGGCTGATTTAATTGATGGTAGAAATAGCTGCCCAATTGTATTTCCTGCATTTGGGAAAAGATAAGTTATACACACTTTCCATAGTTCTAATTTATGCATCCACAGATTTATGACATAGCAGTCCCATTCTGGGACAATCAGGATTCCGGATATAGCTGGTTCAGTCAAGACTGACAGCTGAGTCACAATTTCCATATATTGAAATACATATTTGTAAATGCAAAAATTGGAATTTTGTCCTTTTAGAGAGCAGATGCATTGTTGACTGCTTTAAAATCGCACAGTAAAAATTAATTAATATTAATTAAAATTAATATTTTTTCTATGATGAGTAGAAATTCTAAGAAAAGTTATATGAGCTAAAGGACAGAACTGACTCTGATAAAAGGTGATTTACTCTGTGAAGTGATAAATTTAAATGAAAGTCACTGAAGAAACATAGAAGGATTAGTTAGATTAGTTAACTATTCTGATGAAGAAAGTAATCACATGGAAAACTTGTGAAGCAACAGGATTTTTCATGAAGAATCTCTTTTAATTAATACTAATTGTTAACCCTCTGGTTTTATTAACTTTCAATTTATATAAATTTTACTGATGATTCCCATTACAAAAATTTAGTTTTTTTTGTACTATTAAAAATTGCATTGATTATATCAATTTTTTTTTTATTTTTATTTGATTTGTACACCGCCCAATAGGTGACTGAAGCACTAGGAGATTTAAATGAATATGTTGGAAAGATATTAGTAGATATTTCCTATTTAACAAGCTTGTTCATAAAAATGCTAAATATGTTAGAATATTTAATGTCAATACTTAATAATTATTAGCATCTGATAACCTCTGCTTTGGTGATAATACTCCAAGGACTGTTGGAGTGGAATGTGAGTTTTTTTACGTTTTTATCCTGCTTTTTTTTTTAAAATATACAACTCAAAGTGGCAAAGAATCCTCATTTTCCCCATAACAACAACTCTATGAGCCACGGTGGCACAGTGGTTAGAATGCAGTACTGCAGGCTATTTCTACTGTCTGCCAGCTGCCTGCAATTTGGCAGATCTAATCTCACCAGGCTCAAGGTTGAACCAGCCTTCCATCCTTCCAAGGTGGGTAAAATGAGGACCCAGATTGTTGGGAGCAATATGCTGACTCTGTAAACCACTTAGAGAGGGCTGTAAAAGCACTGTGAAGCAGTATATAAGTCTAAGTGCTATTGCTATGAAGTGCATTGGGCTGTGACTGGCTAAAAATCACCCAGTTTGTTTTTCATGCCCAAGGTGGGACTAGAACTCATAGTCTCCTGGTTTCTAGGCAAATACCTTAACTATTTACACTAAATTGGCTTTCATATATTAGTTACTATATGAATTAGTTTGTCTATATAGAAAATGTATAATGTTTGATAATACAGGTAGTCCTTGACTTATGATTACATAGGTAATCCTGGAGATATGACAGATCAATAATAACCATTCAAATAGACCCCCCCCCCCAAAGCTATATATAACCCTGTTTCAAAGTTAAGAATTCTACAGAAGCCACCCAATCATTTTCCCTTATGGAGAATTCTTAAATTTGGAGAGCCGCTGCAGCATGCCCAACTATCTATTCCTCCCCACCCCCCACCCCCTGGCCAACGTACTGGGTCCCTAAAGCACCGGGCCTGCTTTGCCCCCCCTCCCCTCCCGGATTCCAAACAGTCCTCTTCCACCCCTCAAAATTCATTGCTTACCTACTGAAGATGTGCAAAATTCAGGAGGCTGGGAAGGAGCTGGCCATATATTGTGAAACCTGAGCTGATACTGGAGAAAGTAACTTCATTGTCAGCAGACCCATGTCAGGTTACAAAATTCAGGTTTTTCTATTCAGCATGAGGAGAAAACATTTGTGGAGTAACTCAGCAAAGCAAATTCTTTCTTTCAAAGCTGCTTGCTTTGAAAGGTCCATCATAACTTGGAATAGTTGTTAAGTGACGGCTACCTATGCTTCAGTGCTACCATCAGGTTCACCTTCTTTTTGAAGTTTACAGGGATGCGTTATTATCATTTTAGGGTATTTTAGAACGGCTAGATGCTGGAGAAATTGTGATTGGTGATGGAGGATTTGTCATTGCTCTTGAAAAGAGAGGTTATGTAAAAGCTGGACCTTGGACTCCTGAAGCTACAGTGGAAAACCCTGAAGCAGGTAATGTATATTTATGTATTCATCAAATCAAATTTGAGGGGCTGCCACAAATTTGGAAAATTATTCTCCAAAGTACTAGAGCGCAGGACAAGAAATAATGGTTGGAAACTGATCAAAGAGAGAAGCAACCTGGAATTAAGGAGAAACTTCTTAACAATTAACAATTAACCAATGGAACAGCTTGCCTCCAGAAATCGTGGGCACTCCATCACTGGAGGTTTTTAAGAAGAGACTAGACAGTCACTTGTCTGAGATTGTATAGGTTCTCCTGCTTGAGCTGGGGGCTGGACTAGAAGACCTCCAAGGTCCCTTCCAGTTCTATTCTATTCTAAATTCTAAATCAATTGGATAGTGTCCCAGTTGTAGAATAAACATATTGCTCCAGTCCAGTTAAAATTAGTTATAGATAGTCCTGAACTTACAATAGTTCATGTAGTGACCATTCAAAGTAACAACAGTGAAAAAAGCGACATGACTATTTTTCACACTTATGACCGTTGCAGCATCCCCATGGTCATGTGATTTACTGACTCATGATGGTTGTGGTATCCCGGGGTCATGTGACCATCTTTTGCGATCTTCTGACAAGCAAAGTCAATGGGGAAGCTAGATTCACTTAACAATTGTGTTACTAATTCAGCTTAATTTATTTCAGTTATTTAATCATAATTAATTAGGTAGACACTGTTTGCCACATTCTGTATGTACTACTGAAAATAATTCTATTTATATTTCCTGTTCTTATGAACAGCTAACTTTGTGATTATGATTAAACAAACAAAATGGCTATACTGTTAAATGTGCAGTCTTCCAGATTTTTATGTTTTCCCAATTTCAGAGATACTTTAACAATAGGCTAAATAAAATTACCATCATGTTTAAACTATAGCAGTGTTTCTTAAACTTTTTACTCTTATGACCCCTTCCCGCTTTTAAAAATAATAGAGGACACCAAAAGATGCTGTGTTTGTATGGGTTATATGTATCAATATTTACCAAAGTAAAATTAATGCATTAATAGAATATTTATTTATAATATTAAATCCATTAGATACTAACAAATATTTTTCATGGAAAAAACCTGAGATGTTTTAACAAATAAAAAAAAATGGAAGAGTGTCATTATTTTACATTTTTGCAAATACCTTCAATATCTGGTAAATAATTTTAATTTCATGGACCCCTGAGAGTGTCTTGGGGGACCCCCAGAGTGCATTTTAAGAAACACTTGTCTACAGCATTGTTCTTCTCTCCTCCTTTCTCTTACAATACAGTATACTAGATTATAAAGAGAAAAAGGAGAGGGGAGAATAGTTTTTCATTACACTGCCATTACCACCAACAGAAGTACAATACTTGAATTCAGTAATTTCTTATGTATCCTCTATGGTTTATGCCAAGGATGTCAAACTCAAGGCCTGCAGACCAGATCCAGCCCATGGGGTGCTTAGATCTGCCCGTGGGGCTGCCCTGGAAACAGCAAAGGACTAGCTCATGGTGCCTCAGAGCTCACAAGCCTGTTTTCGCTGGCAGAGCGCTCAGGTCACCACAGGCACCCCGACATGAGTGACGTCAAGCTGACCATGCCCACCCTGGCCACGCCCACCCCCTGAGGTCAAACACAACCCTGATGCAGCCCACAATGAAATTGAGTTTGACACCCCTGGTTTATGCTGTCAGAAGTGTTACATGTTTCAGTAATTTTCAACAACCCTGCACCCCAGAATTGGCAAAATCATTCTTCTTCATTTTAAGAACATCCAGAGAGTTCTGCTGGATCATGTCAAAATCCCATATAGCCTAACTTTTGGTGGCCCGGTACTGCCAAGCAGATGTATTCTGGAAGCTGATAAGCATGGGTGTGATACTCTCTTCCATTCTTGCATCATTGCAACTGAGTTTGAACCGGGGTGAAATCTACATACCTTCCTTACTGGTTCGGAAGCGCATGCACCCCACGTGTACATCACATGCGCGTGCAGACCTGCACATGTGTGTGCAGACCTGCGCATGCGCATAACCTGTCCATACGCAGAAGGTAAAAAATACATTACTTCCTGGTTAAAACCAGGAAGTAATGACACCCGGGTGGGTGGGCGGAGCTTCGCTCCACCATCGCTACCGGATTGCCGAACCACCAGCTAAGATCGCTACTGGACCGGGCAATCCTATCCGATCCGGGAGCATTTCACCCCTGGTTTGAACATTTGTGTATCTAGAGATAGTAAATTAAGATCAATAATTTTATTTTATTTATTTATTGCAATTTGTCAAACAAAAACGAGAATAAGAATAAGAGAATAAAAATACAATGCTAGGGATGATAGGCACGTTAGTGCATTTAGGCACGCTCCCTCTACTGACGACTTAAGTATGAAGTAAGGTCCACGGAAGTCAGTTTGTAACTGAAACTATGAAAATTTGTAACTGAGACAACTGAATCAGGTAGGGCATTCCAGACTTTGAGAACTCAGAAATCATATTTTTTACAATCAAGTTTAGAACAATTTACATTGAGTTTAAAGCAATTGTTCACGCGCGTTGATAGCCAGAGGCAAAATTGTCCCTGCCAGGGCTTGAAGTGAAATCGAGAGTGATGCTACTATTGTTACCATTAATTTTATTTCCCATATTTTACTCACATTTACTGAAAGTAAAATAATTTTTTTAAAAAAACAAACATTTTGTGAGTGAGATACACTGACAAAAGCTGTCTTAAACTTGTCATGAAATTTAAGAAAATGTTCTGGAAATCCATTTTTTGAAATTAAAATTTTAATTCACTCAGGAGATACTTCTTCTTAAATACCACTTTTACTGAAATTCTATTTATGCATGTACTATTCCTCCCTTCCATTTCATCCATGCAGTAGTAATGTTGAACGTTGCTACCTGAAATTAGATACTGTCTTGATAATTAGTATATATGACTGTATTGCATGTAAAACTCTACCTAACACAATGCCTTATTTCTATAATATCATAGTGGAGGCCAAGCCTGCATAACATCCAGCCTATGGGCTTTATGAGCCTACCCATCAGCCTTAGGCAGTGTGCTGGCATTTTAAAAAAATAACTAACCCACTGCTGCCAAATATTGCTGCCATCAGGAGGAATCTGCAGTCACTGCACGGATTTTCATAGTCACTTGTTTCATGGACACTGCCAGCTGCATTGCTGGTGCCACCCTGCTGGTTATCATGTAGCTGATTGGCACACCAGCAAACCTTTGTAAACTGCAATAATTTTTAAAATGTTAATCTAGCCCTTTCTCTTCTACCAGTATGAGTTCGTGGAACTTTGTCGAGGTTTTTAATTAGATATTATCTTTTAACCTTTGCATGTAGAGGTTTTTCAAATTGATATAAATCACATTACTGTTTTTTTTAAGCAGGGAAAAGAAAGTTAAAAAAAACACTGTTTGCCCAAATCAGCATCTGTGAAGTGAGCCTAATTAGTGTTCCTCCTAATTTAAATGTCTTGTTTATCTGTGTGGACTTACATGTGGAATAATTTAATAATAATTCATCATATACCATTTACAAGCTGTGATGTGCAGAATTTCTACGAGCTAAAGTAATAATTTTTCTAAACAAGTCAATCATGACTTTTTAAATATAATAACAGAATAACGTTGAGTCATTTAAAAACATTAAATCAAGACACAAAACGGGACATAGAATCATAGAGGCAATATGTTTGTTAAAAGATGTTGCTGGTATAGTGCTAACAGTATGTTTAACTCTCGACTTTGTTTCAATATTTTGTAGTTCGTCAGCTTCATCGAGAATTCCTCAGGGCTGGAGCAAATGTTTTACAGACATTCAGCTTTTATGCCAGTGATGATAAATTAGAGAACAGAGGAAACTATGCTGCTGATAAATTTTCTGTAAGTAGTTTCAACCACTTTTTATTAGTAATTTTGACAAGTAAGCAGAGTTTTAAAAATGTGTATTTAATCTTGATACTTTTGTGTTGCTATAGTTTAAGCAAAAGTATTCAGATAGTCCTCGACTTAGGACCACAGTTGGAACCAGAACTTTCATCTCTAAGCAATGCAGTTGTTAAATGAACCACACCCAATTTTACAATCTTTTTGACATGGTCATTCAGTGAGCCACTGTGGTCATTAAGCAAACCACACAGTTGTTAAATGAATCTGGCTTCCCCCACTGACTTTGCTTGTTGGAGGCCCCCTTTTGAAGGCAATGGATGGCAATCAAATGACCACAGGACACTGTAATGCTCGTAAATGCATGCCAGTTGCCAGGCACCCAAATTGTGATCACATCACGGTGGGGTTTTAAGTGCAAAGTGCAAAAACTGACCATCAGAAACTTTTTTCAGCACCTGACTTAGAATGATTGTTGAACAAATGGTCGTAAGTCAAAGACTACTTGTATCTTTATTGTTAAATTAATATTTAACAACACTAACACTTAATATTAAACAATACTTAGTAGCCTAGATTATTTTTTACATTTTCCCAGTTTCAGGAATGCTTTAACATTAACAGTTAAAGTTTTTTTAAAGAACAAATGGTTGGCACAACATTTTCTTAATCTAGATAAAGTGCTTAATTCTTCTCTACTTGTTTTATAGGGTATAACTATACCAAACATGCAGTAAGAACTTCAAACATTCTTGCCTCAAAATCATTTAGATACCATATTATAAACATGTATGTATATAATATCTAGTATGAGTTTTTCAACATGTACTTCTTGTTTACTTACTTATTTTTATTTATATGGCCGCCTATATCAAACAAGTGATTCTGGGCAGCTAACAGTAATTAAAAATACAAAAAACCCAAAATAAATACATGTTCAGCTACTGAGACAAAAAATAGCTATCAAGAAACTACTGTACTTCATTGGCTCCAACTAACATTCCAAACCCCATGGTTGAAACAAGGTTTGTTTTTCTGTTCTTTGGAATAGGGTTTCTCAATCAATCTGGTGGAATACCAAAACCATATCTTCTGTGAAGTTGCTATTCCCATTGGTAACTGTTGTACAGCGTGCAGTTCAATAGAACAGAATAACAGTTGGAAGGGAACTTGGAGGTCTTCTAGTCCAACCATCTGCTCAGGCAGGATACCATTTCAGACAAATGGTTGTCAAATCTCATCTTAAAAACTTACAGCTTTGGAGCAATTCACAATTTCTGGAAGCAAGTTGTTCCACTGATTAATTGTTCTGTCAATAAATTTCTTCTTAGTTCTAGGTTGCTTCTGTCCTTGATTAGTTTCCATCCATAGCTTCTTATCTTGCCCCTCAGGTGCTTTGGAGAATAACTTGACTTCTTCTTCTTTGTGGCAACCCCTGAGATATTGGAATACTCCTATTATGCCACCCCTAGCCCTTCTTTTCATTAAATGAGACATACCCAATTCCAGCAATCCTCCTTTATGTTTTAGCATTTAGTCCCCAAATCATCTTTGTTGCTCTTCTTTGCACTCTTTCTAGCTGCTTTCCATCATACTAATACTGGAACTCAGGAGTAGAACAGCCTACCACATAGAGATCTCAGCATCCCTTGCATTTTCTATCTCACTGTAAATTTCAAAATAGAGCAGCTACGGTGGCGCAGTGGTTAGAGTACAGTACTGCAGGCTACTTCTGATGACTGGCTGCCAGCAGTTTGGCAGATCGAATCTCACCAGGCTCAAGGTTGACTCAGCCTTCCATCCTTCCAAGGTCGGTAAAATGAGGATCCAGATTGTTGGGGACAATATGCTGACTCTGTAAATCGCTTAGAGAGGGCTGTAAAGCACTGTGAAGCGATATATAAGTCTAGGTGCTATTGCAATTGCTAAATTGCTCACTGAGATTTGGTGATGCAAACATTCTCCTGCCAATTTCTTTGCCATCTGCACTAGTTGCTGGTCTCTTTCTAAATCTAATTCAGAGTGCAGGTTTTGACTTTTAATGCCCTAACAGCTTAAGGACAGGTTACCTGAAAGAATCCCTTCTCCTTTATGTATCTACCTGGATTTTAAAAATTGAATAAGTTCTCCTCCAGGTGCCCTCACCAAAAGAGGGTAAATTGGGTCTCTTGCAAGGGAGAGAATGGCTTTTTTGTGGTGGCACTCCACTTACGGAACTCACTCACCAGAGAGGCTTGACTGGCATCCACACTAACATCGTTCTGGCACCTTTCTATTTTCCAAAGGTTTTGAATTGGCTGTTAATTGTATTTGAAATTATATTGTTAAAGATTTTGAATAAGTGCCTTACAAAACATAAAATTAAAGTGGCCCAAAATTCTCAAGATCTCAAGGAGTATGGCTTTTCAGCCACGTTCTTTAATTTTTTTATTAAATACTGTCTCCCATTCAAGTAGACACTTATTGATGTCCAACATAGGAGAAACTGATGAAAGGAACACTCATGAATATTAGGATGTATAATGAGATCTACGTATGTCTGAACAACCAGTAGATAATTTTTACACAGACTACTTGAGGAACTGTTATGGAGGACTGCTGCTGTCACCCCCCCTCCCCCCCGCTGCCTCTCATTACCTGCACAAGTGGGACAGGGACAGGCAAGGGGCCAGATGTAGTCTGCAAGCCATAAAAGGCCCAGGTCTAGTCTGGACTCAAGCCATCCCTGATTTAAACTCCTTACCCCAAAATGGGATATTACTACTATTTACATTAAATAGGTCAGAATCATCTTCTCTCTTAATAAGGCTTCCACAATTTCTGTATCCTTTAGATTGGTTTATCTTGATTAGATGTAATTAATCAGGTTGGGCAAAGATCAAGTTCAAAGGGTAAGCTACACTTCTCCAATACCATATATACTGTATTTCTGTAGGCTACTGAAACTGGAAATGATCAAAGTGTTGCTCCATTCTCATGTATAAAAGTATGCCAGTTAACACTTGACAACCATTGCTTGCTTTGTGGAATTGCTGACTGATAAAATGCACAATACTTTAACAGTGTAATATTTATTTTTAATTTTTTTGTACAATATTATGTATATTATTTAATATCCTGTTTTGAAGAGGCCTGAAGACTTAGCTCTTTACCCAGGCCTTTAATAAGGATAAATGAAGCCTTCTTTTAATCTAGGTTGTTTGTTTGTTTGTTTCCACCAGGTTTGTAATTCTGCCATCTACTCTTTGTTTCTTGTTTCCATGTTTTTAATCACTTGTAAACCACTAACGGTCACTGGGAGTTGGGCAGCATGCATATTTAAATAATGATAATAAAAATTAGCACTTCAATCTTTTCATACCATTAGGGCCAGAAAATAAATGAAGCTGCTTGTGACATTGCGAAAGAAGTTGCTCAAGAAGGTGATGCTTTGGTGGCTGGAGGTGTTAGTCAAACACCTTCATACTTAAGCAGCAGGAGTAAAACAGAAGTGAAAGCAATCTTTCGAAAGCAATTGCAAGTTTTTATCAAAAAAGAGGTGGATTTCTTGATTGCAGAGGTAAATAAATTTACTGACAAGTGATAAGTATTGCTTATCTGGAAACAAAGACTTTGTTGCTTTATAATAGAAATATCAATGCTTTGGAGCATCAGAATCTATTACTATCTTTATTTTATTTGTACTCTTAATGACATAAGGACAGATGAGGCAAATGGGATTGCAGTGAGGAAAAGGCTTGGCAAAGCTTTATTGTATAAGAAAGCTTTAATTAGTCTGTGTACATCTCCTAGTTGAATTGTATTCTACCTCAGTTGTACTTCAAATTCTAAGACCTTTCTTGATAACATGATGTATGCACAGACACATAAACCCACATACATATATGGATATATTTATATCCTTCCTTTGGCATGGTAACCCAGGCTTCAAACTAAAGCATTGAATCGAAGTGGTTAGAAAGTTCTCACATTGAATTAAGAAAAATCACCACTAGTGCTAAGATTTAAAGTAAGCTACTATATGGTTAAAGATACCTTTGGTAGTATGGGTGGGAATGCAACAACTTGCCACAGCCAACTTGCTGTGGAAAACTCACTGCGGCCAACTTGCAGTGGGCAAACTCGCCACGGCCAGCTTACTGCAAGACAACTTGTTGTGGGACAATTTAACAACTCTATTTAATTGTTTAAAATAAATACAATTTTTTTAAATTTTTGCCATTCACATTTCATTCTGTCCCTCCTTTTGCATCCTTTCTTTAATGATTCCATTCCATCATTTCTTTCATATTAGTGTGACTTTTGTCCTGCAGCAAGTTGTCCTGCAGCGAGTTGGCTATGGTGAGTTGGCCGTGATGAGTTGGCCGTGGCAGGTTGGTCATGGCGACATAGCGAGCTGGCTGTGGCAAATTGTCATAGACAATTCAGGTAGCCCTTGACTTACTATTAAGTGACCGTTTGAAGTTGCAACGGCACTGAAAAGTGTCCTATGACCATTATTTACAGTTACAACCATTGCAGCATCCCCATGGTCATGTGATCAAAATTTGGCACTTGGCACCTGGCTCATATTTATGACTCAGTTGCAGTGTCCTGGGTCATGTGATCACCTTTTGCACCTTTCTGGCAAAAATAGTCAATGGGGAAGCCATATTCACTTTACAAAAACATGTTATTAACTTTAACAGCTGCAATGATTCATTTAACACCTGTGTCAAGAAATGTTTTGTAACATGGGGCAAACTGACTTTACAACTGTTTCGCTTAGCAGTGAAAATTTGGGGCTCAATTGTGATCATAAGTCAAGGACTACTTGTAAATACCTGGAGCTATTCTTTAAAAACATCTTGGCTGCTTATTTTTAACTTGACATATTGCATTTTTTTTTCAATTAAAAAAATGTTCCTCAACTTGTTTTGTAAATACTTTTTGTAAATTGTCGCTAGTATTTTGAACATGTTGAAGAAGCCACATGGGCAGTTGAAACTTTAAAAGAATCTGGGTTGCCAGTTGCAGTTACTCTGTGCATTGGCCCAGAAGGAGACATGGATGGTGTACCACCAGGAGAATGTGCTGTTCGACTAGTTAATGCTGGTAAGATGTTACTTTCATTATCAATTTTGATTCAACTTCAATTCTGGCAATTTCATGGATGTATCTATATAATTTTATTGGCAATAATATAGAAGCAATTTGCTGTTGCCTTCTGGGATACTTTTCCCACTTTCCAAAGTAGCCTATGTTCTGATATTCCTATCCAAGAATTAAGAGTTAAAGAAAAACATTGTGCTTTTATTTCTCAATTTTTGGGGGCTTTTTAGTGGCTTTCATCATGACAAAAATATAGCTTCTCAACATTTTTAAGGTGATTTCATTCATGCATCTTTAAGTGCAGTTAGTTTTACAAAATATTAAAAGAGGTAAATGCTGGGGATTATGTTTAAAAATCCTGACCCTGAAAAGTATTACAGAAAATGTTGTATCTTGTTTCTTAGGGGCTTCTATTGTTGGAGTAAACTGCCACTTTGATCCAGCTATTTGTCTTAGAACTATAAAACTCATGAAGGAAGGTTTGGCAGCTGCAAAACTAAAAGCACACCTGATGTCACAGCCACTTGCTTTTCATACCCCCGATTGTGGGAAGCAGGGTTTCATTGATCTACCAGAGTTTCCTTTTGGTAAGATTTCATTGCTCTTTTTTTATGGTTATCAAGGTAGGAGAAAAATAGTGTAAAAACATTAAAATCACATACATACTCAGATTAAAACTGCACACATAATTTTAGAGAAGACTTGCATATGATTGGTCTGAAATGAAATCTACACTGTCTTGCTTAAAATGCAAGTAAATATTGGATAACTTAAACCAAACTAAAGAAATTTTTCAAGAGTAACCTAAGGTACAAAGGTGTATAATTTAGATTGTGATGATTTCTTCACATATACTTTAACTAGAACTGGCACAGGTACATTAAAATACGCTTGGATGGTAGTTTTGGATGTTTGGATGGTAGTAGGGGAAAATGAAGGAGTTTATATTATTTGAATTTGCCCAAGGATGGAAACCAGTTGAATTAGCTGTTTCCACAACTCTTCCAGTTAAAGTATATTTTGCATTTTCCCTGGGGATGTTGGGCCTGTATTTAATAAATATAGGTATTGATGAAAAGAGTACAAAAATGCTGTTAAATTGGGGGGATGGGGGGGGACACCCTGCAGCATTAAACTTAGAGAAACTGAAAGCTGAGTGGAAAGGAATGTTACTGGTAATTTGTAAATAGAAGGCGACTCCTTCAAGTGATTTTAAGTAATTTTAAGATTCGGTCAATCTTGTGGCAAGAGATCATTCCCAAAGTTGGAGCCCCTCATGACAATGTCTGGAAATTTTTTAGAAGCTAAAATAGAAGTAAATAAATGCATAATTACCTAACTTGGTCCATGGAGCTCAAAGGAAACATCTTGAGGATAATGCTAAATTTTATCGATTCTGTGTATAATATTAACTGAATATTACAATGAATATTTAAAAATTCATATCATTACAGCTTTGGAGCCAAGAATTTTAACCCGATGGGATGTTCACAAATATGCAAGAGAAGCTTACAATTTAGGGATCAGATATATTGGAGGATGCTGTGGATTTGAACCATATCATATCAGAGCAATTGCTGAGGAGCTGGCCCCAGAAAAGGGTTTTTTACCCCGTGCATCTGAAAAACATGGTAGCTGGGGGAGTGATTTGAGTATGCATACTAAACCCTGGGTTAGAGCAAGGTAAGTGTACTTTTAATTTTGGTAGTAAAATAATTGATTTAAAATATAGTTACTCCTCAACTTACAACAATTGGGATCAGAAATTCTGTTGCTAAATGATGTGGTTGTTAAAATTATCTCTCTGCTGCCATCCAGTGGTTACCTGGATTTTTGCAGCTCAGATATTGAAAACTCAATAGAGCCAGGACATATATTATCTCTCTGCTGCCATCCAGTTGATAAACTGAAAGTTTTGAGATCATTTGTTCCAGCCACCTGTCCTATTATAGAACCCATTATTAAGAGATGCCTCACAGAAAACTATCACTAATTGGCTTTTTTGTTTGCATTTAGGGCTAGAAAAGAGTACTGGGAGAATATGTTACCTGCTTCAGGTCGGCCATATTGTCCCTCACTGGCAAAGCCAGATGATTGGGAAGTGACCAAGGGCGATCTGATACAGCAGAAAGAAGCAACAACTGAACAACAGCTGAAAGAGCTTTTCAAGAAACAAACATTCAAATTCAAAACTGTACCTTAAAATTAGCAGCAATTTAAATAAAAATTACAATCATTATTAAATGAAGAGATGATACAGGCAAATGTAATTCATAGATCTCAAACATTATCTACTGTTCCCCCACATGGTTATGAGGAAAAGATTCCTCATCTTTGATCCTATTGAAATAATTTTATTAAATACTGTAGGACCGTCCAATTGAAAGAAAGCAGATAAGATATCCTAGCTAAGCTAGTAAAGTGTTTTTTTAAACTCTGCTGGCTCACTGCAATTAGAAACTGTATAAGGCCAAATTCTGATCATCTTTCTTTTGGTTCCAGTGTTGTAGTTTTGAGATTTCCATAGAAGCACAACACAGTCATGCAGATTCCTGATTACTCTGACATACCACCACCCCACCAGTACCCAGCTTTGGCCATTTCTGCCAGGGGTTCCATAGATGAGTCATGCTTGTGGAACCTGTAAAAATTCCATTATATAAAAGGATTGTTTCTTCAATGGCAATTGCTGGCTCCAGATTTGTGCTTTTAAGTCACACTGCATTCAGTTACATTTCCTCGGCAAAGCCTGGGTTTAGATTGTAGGCAAAGTATGAGTGCATTTTAGGTTAGATACAATTTAGCTTCAGCTGGGTTGCTAACATAATTTTGGGGGTTGGAGCTTTTATGTGGAGCAATGTTTAGCAAAATACCAAGGTACTAAACACTTAAAAAACAGGTATGTTTTCAGTCTCTGATGTTTTCAGTCAACCATCCTCTGACAGATAAAACATATGTTGCCCATTCAGGAAGCCAAATAGGAAAACTTATTCCTACAATAATGATTTTTTAAACTTACTTGTTTGCTTTACATTTAAGCAGAGCCATATTAAATTTTGGTGCTGTTTTCTTGTTTGGGCAGAGGATTCCTATACTGTATTTTAGGGCAGATGTACAAATACTATTCCTGATTTAGATGCTCTTAAAATTATGTGTTTATAGTTTAAGCAGTTCACTCTTCTGATATGGACAAATAAAATTAATAAAACAAAAATTATTGCCAGTTGTACTCTGTCCTTATTAGCTTTTCTGGGCAAAAATAATTAAGAATGTTTAGATTTGATTAAAATAAAATGTGTACTTGTTAGTCCGCACCATGGTTAACTATTTTGCTAAGGCTGTTATTGAGTAACTCAATTGTAATACAGTACAACACTACAGAGAACAAAACTGTAAATCCTAGCAACAGGAGAGTTCTTTCAACTAAACTGTAATGTAACTAACAATAAGTGCTTGAGATGATCATGTTTATTCATTGCATCATGTATATTTTACACACTTTTCCTGCATGACAAAGACACTCAGGGGTGAATGATGTGTCTGGCAAATAAGAATAAAGAATTGTCAAGTCAGTAAAGAAATGGAACAACAGCTCCAGAAATAACTAAGGTTGTGTGTTACTGATGTATTTCTAATAGTTCTACTGAACTACTAAATTCAGATTCAACAGATATCTTATTGTTTGACTTATATCTCTCTTTTAATTAGCACAGGGCTAAAAACTAGTATAAAGCATGAATATAATACTTCCCTATTTTATATAAATCTAATAATATAGTGTAGACCTGGGTATTTTATGGTCTATGGACCACATCCTGCCCTTGTCTGGCCTGTGGCATGGGTAGCAGCAGCAATGGAGGGCAGGGGGGGAGGCCGGTGGCAACCCTCCAAAACAGATTCCAGTTTCTCATGTGGCCTCTTGGAAAAATTGATGTCAAACTTGCCACATTTGGGTGTTTTAAATATGTGTCTAAAGTTTTGGATGTACAATTTATCACATGATATATGCATATATATATATATATATATTTTAAAAAATATATAAAAAGTTAATATGCCAAATAGCCATAAGAGAAAAAACCCGCCAGTATCTTTATTAGGCTAAAAGTTAATTTTTTATATGTTCGTGGAAACTTTTATATAAGAAACTAGAGGCAGAGATTGAACTCTAAGAAACCTATTTTGTAACTAAATATAAATATGACTTGTACTTATTTATAAAATGTTTAATCAACCCTGAAATCATTCAATTAAAAGAAATCTGCATATGTGAAGAAGAAAAAAAGTTAAGCAAAAAAAAAAAACCCAGGTAAAGGAAAGTAAGAATTTATTTATTTTATTTTATTTTGAATTTGTATACCGCCCTTCTCCCTGATGACTCAGGGCGGTGAACAGCCAAGTAAAAACATCAAATACAAATATTAAAATACAATTAAAAGATATATATAAATTTGGCCTCATTAATTAAAAACGATAAACAAAACAAAAACACTTAAAAAATTAGGCCAGCCCGGCTTGCTGGAAAAAGAAGGTTTTAAGGGCACGGCGGAAGGCACTGAGGTCTTGGATTCTCCTTATCTCTGGGGGCAACTGATTCCAGAGGGTAGGTGCCCCCACAGAGAAGGCCCTCCCCCTGGGGGTCACCAGCCTGCACTGTTTGGCTGATGGCACCCCGAGGAGGCCCTCTCTGTGGGAGCGCACAGGTCGATGGGAGGTCGTCAGTGGCAGCAGGTGGTCTTGAAGATAGCTAGGCCCTATGCCATGGAGCGCTTTAAAGGTGATAACCAACACCTTGAAGCGCACCCGGAAGACCACTGGGAGCCAGTGCAGCTCACGCAGGAGCGGTGTTACATGGGAGCGCCATGCTGCTCCCGTCACTACCCGCACTGCTGCGTTCTGGACCAGTTGGAGCCTCTGGGTGCTCTTCAATGGGAGCCCCATGTAGAGAGCGTTGCAGTAGTCAAGGCGAGAGGTGACGAGGGCATGAGTGACTGTGCACAGGGAATCCCGGTCAAGAAAGGGCCGCAACTGGCGAATCAGGCGAACCTGACAAATGGTCCCCCTGGTTACAGCCGTCAGATGTTCCTCTAAGGACAGCTGCATATCCAGGACGACTCCCAGATTGCAAGCCCTCTCTGTGGGGGCCAATGACTCGCCCCCAATAGTCAGTGATGGAGTCAACTGACTATATCGGAATGCCGGGAACCACAGCCACTCAGTCTTGGAAGGGTTGAGCTTGAGCCTGTTCCTCCCCATCCAGATCCGCACAGCCTCCAGGCACCAGGACATCACTTCAAGGGCATCGTTGGGGTGGCCTGGGGTGGAGATTTACAGCTGGGTGTCATCAGCGTACTGATGGTATCTCATCCCGAAGCCATGGATGATCTCGCCCAGCGGCTTCACATAAAAGTTGAACAGGAGGGGCGAGAGGACCGACCCCTGAGGCACTCCACGTATAAGAGGCCTCGAGGTCGACCTCTGCCCCCCTGCCAACACGAACTGCGACCGGTCGGAGAGAAAGGAGGAGAACCACCGTAACACAGTGCCCCCCATCCCCAACTCTTCCAACCGGTGCAGCATGATACCATGGTCGATGGTATCAAAAGCCGCTGAGAGATCTAACAGGACCAGAACAGAGGAGCAACCCCTGTCCCGAGCCCTCCAGAGATCATCAACCAACGCGACCAATGCCGTTTCCGTGCTGTGCCCGGGCTTGAAACCCTACTGGAACGGATCTAGATAGGATGTTTCCTCCATGAATTGCGGAAACTGTCGCGCGACCACTCTCAACAGCCTTCGCCATGAAGCGAAGGTTGGAGACAGGACGGTAGTTGGCCAATATTGCCGGATCCAGGGACAGCTTCTTGAGGAGAGGCCTCACCACCGCCTCTTTCAAGGTGGCGGGGAAGTGACCCTCACTCAACGAAGCATTGATAACACCCTGGAGCCAGCCTCGTGTAACCTCCCGGGAGGCCAGTACCAACCAGGAGGGACATGGGTCCAGTAAACATGTTGGCCGCACTAAGTCTCCCCAAAATCCTGTCCACATCATCGGGAGTCACAGCATCAAACTCCTCCCAGGTAACATTCTCAAGACTATTCCTCGTCACCCTGCCCTGATCTACCCAGTCAGAGTCCAAATCCCCCCGGATCTGAGCGATTTTGTCATACAGGTATTGTCCGAAATCCTCCGCCCTGCCTTCCAATGAGTTGAAATGCATACCTGTATGTGTGTAAGAAAATAATATAGACATTCAATACCATGCATACTTACGCATAATACTATATTACTATATTACTATAATGAACAAGTTATAATATGCTACATAAGGAACTCAAATTTACAGGACTGTTACATTGTAGTACTGGATGCAAATTGCTTCTAGTATTCACCAACAGTTTTTCGAGTGTGTGGAGAGAGCTAACAAACATTTTTGAGGAGCCAGTGAACGGTCTTATTTTTTTTTATCTAAGGTAAACATCTGACCATTATCAAAGTTTGACCATTGTCAAAGTTTTCAAGATCAAGTGATCTCAGATTTGTTCTTGTATGTATTAATAATTACTGTTGGATACTAAATATATAAAATTTAGAATGCAATATCTTGGACAGAGAGATAATCCTTGGACAAACTGGTCAACCCAGAACAAAATAATATATAGTGTTTTAATTTAAGTGCTTCAATTTAAAAAATATGTTTTATATTACTGTTGCACTATTTCATGAAATGTAATACAGTAACTTGAACGTTCACATTGTGGCAACCTTTTCCAAAAATAGAACAAAAGCTCTTTGTGCTAAATGACCAGAAGCCAAAAAATTCTTGAATACAGCTTGTCTACAAGAATCCAAAACCAGTTTTCCTATAAAGCTGCCATCATGGAAGATAATTTTTTCATACCTTGTAAAAAGAGAAATAAATATTAGTAGGACTAATACATCTTATCAATCCAATATAATTATATCTTTAAAAGTTTTTGTCCTAAGAATTACTTAATTACATTAGCTAGCCAGAGGAACTTCCAGATGATTCAGTGTACAGTGTTTCTGAGGTTCAGAATTTAGTAACTTCTGTACAAAATGGCAGAATCAATGTTGGTTGCTAGAAAAATGATTATGTCTCAACTGGGCCAGTAGCAAATGTGTTTGGAATCCTTTGTACATTGCATCTAATTTTAGTGCTCCTATTTGTTGCTACTGTTATTGAAAGAGTTATCTGGACACTCATGAAGATGATGGCTAAATTTCAAAATAGTTTACTGTCACTTGTACCTTTTATCTACTTGTGCCACAATTTTTTACTTAAGAGGTTCCCTAAGCATTAGGGGAGGAATTGACCGATAACAGTTGTTGCCAGAAAATGACCTTGTAGGGCTGCTGTAGGAGTTGGAAAAATCCTGATAATTTAATTTCTTTAATTCTTTGCTGCCATCTTGTGGTTGCCTATCCCAGTTATAGCAACCTTGCCTTTTTGTTATTCCCTTCCCCCAATATTTTTTGATCATATGTCTCCCTAATTTCAGTTTGAAACTAATAGTTCTTGAGGAACATCTCTGGATGACATTACCTTCCTCTTAATCCCAACTCATAGGCAATAACAGCTAATTTAATGAGACAGTCTGAGCTGGAGAAATTTCAGATGGTTGAACCTGAAGATGCGGACAAAGTCCTTGCAGCTGTGAGCTAAGCCATCTATGTTCTGGACCCTGCTGGTTGGTTATGGAGTCATGGGAGATGGCATATAGCTGGAACCAAGTTACTACTTCTTTGCAGTAGGGGATGGTACCACTTACCTTCAATGAGGCCACGATGCAGCCCTACTCAAGAGGCTATCCAATGGTTTCGGATCATGTTAAGCAACTTTTGTCCTATGTCCAACTTTTTAGAAAAAGACTGTTGAGAGGGTAGGTGGCACACAGCTTCAGAGTGCCCTGGATGAAGCAGATTATCTGGATCCTGTTCAATCTGGGTTCAAGCCACAGAACAACACTGAGATGGCATTGGCCATGCTTGCTGCTGATCTCTGAAAGGTTCAGGATGTGGTGGTGCAACTGTCCTGAGTCTTCTGGATCTTTCATCAACTTTCAATAAAATCCTTCTGGACTGATTCAGGAGACTGGGAGGAGGAGGACTGTTTTGTGGTGATTCTCCTCCATTCTCTCTGGCCAGGTCCACTTGGTATTGGTGGACAAGAAGAGGTCAAGAAGCAGGATCCACTCAGC